AAACGTCTAGGAAGGATATCTCGAACAACCTTCGGAATGTAGATATTCGATACAAAAAACAAAAAAGGTTCACATAAAGCCAACAGAGTTTAAGTTACTTTGAGGAAAATATTGGGACATCTGATTTGTGTATTATATAAGGATAATTAAATGAAACACATAATGTGTAACAATACCTATACTTTGTTAGGCAAGTCTATTACAGTGAATAAAAGTATACGCGTCATATTTTAAAAGCAAGCTTCATGCCATTATGCCTCTTAATAATCAATTTAGATTTATAAACTTCACGATAGACCAACCATTCCTTCACCTTTACTGCATTGTAAAGTCTAATAATATTGTTTTGTAAAGTCTAAAGATTGATACAAGTGCCACCATATTGATTTCTACGAACATAACAATAAGAATGTATAATAATTGTTTTGTTTTGTTTGTAATGAAAAGGCAATTAATAGAAATGCCAGTCTAAAAATAGAATCATTTTATGGTCGTTTTTATTGTACACTATTTTAATGGCCGTACAATATCACGCTATGGGCCTAAGGAACAGAACAATAATTAACTGTGTTACGAAATATATTTAGGTCAGGATATTTTAGGTGACGTAATAGTTAGGACTTTATTCCTTATGTCTCATTTACGTACACGCGGAGCTTTGCGCGGCGCGTATTTCGTTTGTCGTACATTACAGCATCAAGTCGTGTAAACGGCAGTGCAAACACAAACATATGAACATCACGAGCAATGTATGACGAATAGCACATCGCGCCGCACAACGCGCCGCTTAAACGTAAACGAGGCCTTAGAGTGCAGATTCGAGTTCTACTCGTATAAGAACCCAAGTTCTGTGCAAATAGGATGAATCTATTGCTCTTCATACCGGACATAAACCATCATTTTGAGTTATGAAACAAAAAGGGAATTTATTGTCAAAATTATTTTGTCAGCGTGATTAATATAGGTACATATTGGTGCCAAATTTCATCTTTCTACTGCTAACGGGCACTGAGATTATCCGCGGACAGACAGACAGCCATGGCGAAATTATAAGGGTTCCTAGTTTACTACGGAACCCTAATAAAAAACAAATCTATTCTAATATTATAAAGTATAGGTAAAATTTGTATGTTTGTAAGTTTGTATGTAGGGGTAATCTTTGGAACCGCTGGACTGATTGCCAAAAACCCTTCACTTATTGAAAGCTGCAATGTTCCCGAGTGCTATAGGACAAAACGTCACGCTACAATCAAATGGAGCAGAGCTAGTATCGAATAAAATTAGGAATATAAATTACTTATTTCTTTGTTTCATATGCAGAAACTAATAATACGTTAATAATTTTTTTTTCATTGTATAATAACATATATTAGGTATTTAACATAATAAATGAATTTATTAGCTAATAAATATTTTATCACTTTACACTGCCACCCAGAAATAAAGTAAACGACATAATAATTAATTCATAAAGCGAGTATTTAATTACTGTTTAGAATAATTGCATCGTTTCAATTCAAAAAGTGCATAATTTCGTAACGTGACTAGAATTACGTAATTATATTGGTTAACGTGCCAATAATGACTGATGACATAGTAAAGTCAATGACACAAAAAAACAGATAGAGAGTTGATAAAAAAAAATTATGGCCCTTACTTTTCGTAGGGTAGGTAGGGGGTAATCTTTGGAACCGCTGCCTGGTTGGATTACCAAAATTCTTTCACTGATAGATAGATACAATGTTCCTGAGTGCTATAGGCTACTCTCTCGCGGTTTCACTCGCTGCTCGGCTCCATTTGATCGCAGTGTGATGTTTTATAACCTAAAGCATTCAGGAAATATATAGCTATCTACCAGTGAAAGAATTTTGGCAATCCCACCAGCAGTTCCAAATATTAACCCCCTACCAAACTTACAAATTAACCTCATTATAATATTAGTATAGAAGTTTAGATACATTGTTTTAGTTTTGATAGTCTGTTTAGTTTATTTTTAGCATCTAGCTTTTCACCAAGGACCTGACTGAAGAACAACAAACATCTTTATTAACTTGTGGTAAATCGAGACACAATAGGAGTGCGAATGCCGGCGTTCGCTTGAGGTTTGATAATATATTTATGATCTGTAACGTTACCTAGGCTGCTATAAGTATCTAACGTTACACTACCTTTACGACATTTATTTAAAGATATTGTCTAAAATGATGTTTTTAGATTCTTCTCTTCGACTAATGCAATTTATTCTGTTATTTAATACTGCTGTTATCCACGAGTTTATTGATTGAACGTGATCGGTTTTCAAAGTGCATTCTTAGTGGTAGGTCTGAGCACATTATTATTGGCCTACTATCTGCGTATGATTTGAGTTTTGGTACTTAATTCTTTGGATAACAAAGATGGCGTCATAAAAATCAGGATATCGTATTAGTTACCATAAATCCTTGAGGCTATTGAATAATTTTGGATTATGTATTGTCTTGAGGCGCCTGGATTGTCAAGGATGTAGGTTAATCTATTCTAGGGTGGCATCAACTCGTAATGTAACGTTTTTTTTTAATAATAATTGGAACCTGGTTTTTTATATGACCTTAAAAATGTGTTTAGATGACTGTAATACCAATATCATTGGCCTGCTACTTAGTATTTTTTTACTATCCTATTTAATTATAAATAGAAAGTTTCAATTAAGTGTTTAGTAGTTATTCTATTTTCATCAGGCGCTCATTGATTTCGCGAAACGGTATTACCACGTGCTTGATTTTATACGAAGTAACACCTTGTGATCATGACGTCTACATATATAATCTATTTTATTTTGAGTTTGAAAGAAGTATTTGAAAATTAAATGGTAAACAAATCTGACTGTATCGTTATTGAAATAACACGTTTTTTAATAATTAAATAACAATATTTAACTTTATTTGTCCTTAATCAATAAATCTTACATTGCGTCTGAAGAAGACGGAAACAACACCTGTTCATTATAATAATAATGATATTCGTGTGCGACTCTGCGCAGGCGCATACTTGTCGGTATGTCATATGCTATGGTCATTTGTTGTGTTGTGACGCTTCTGACTCATGTGATTCGGTCATAATGTTGTAATATAAAGATTCTTGGACCTCATAGTACCTACCTATGGTACACAAACAGTTTTGTTTTGTTCGTAAAACATGGTACAAGAATATTTCCTATTTAGATACCAAGGATTTTCTGTTTTGATTTTGACTCCAACATAGATTTTTTTATAGAACGTTCTTTATTTGAAAATTTACGTATAGTTAAAAAAAAGTTTGTGGTTTTATATAAAATTAATGGAACCATAAAGATTAAAAATAAAATAAAATAAAGCTTTAAGTTAAGTATTAAAAAAAAAAACAAAAGCATAGAGCGCGACGTAAATAAAATTTGAATTTGCGTTGAACTGATTTGCGTCTAATGCAAACATTAGCATACTTATCTTGTTAAATATCAATTAAATCGCATTTAACATTTAATATAAAAACTTACTTATTATTTGTATGTTTATTATTGATATATTAACGTAGTAGCAAGTTGATATTTTCTTTGATGTACTAAAATTTTCAACAAAGAAATCATACATGTTATGACCTACCAAGATCTTTAAATTATATATGTAGTTATACTTAGATACAACTTAAACGTTATATGTGATCAACAAATACATCATAAAAAAAACTTGCACTTTTGATTTATATAAATAAAGTTGTATAACAGTATAAAAACAGTTTAAAATCGCGAATCTGCCTTGAGCAAACTTGTTTATTAATGCTAATTTCTTCTTAGTGTGAGGTGAGACCTTTGTTCAGCACTGGACACTGGGACATAGGTTGGTCGTAATTACACCTCAAATATAAGTAAAAACGAAAATGGTGCTTAAAATTTCACAGCATAGTGGTGATAATAGAAAATCAATAAACATGAAAACCTTGATTAACAAAGTATAAAAGTTCAATCACCAATTCGGGTAAAGTGTCATTGGGTTAAAAAATAAAAGGCGTCATAAATTTGCACATTCAATGAACTTCTGACGTAGTTTTTTTACGTACCTCTATGTACACTGCTTATGTAAATTCCTACTTTATGTATTGTGTTTAAATTCGCAATTAGAATGCAGGAATGTTCACATTCTTTTGTTAATTGTGAATTTTAATGGAGCTTCATTAACGATATTGTTGTCTCTAATTAACTTGGCCTATTAGGCATGGCTAAAAATCAAAGTGAAAGTCAAAATCATTTATTTCAATTAGAGCCTTAAAGGCAATTTTGAACGTCAAACAAAGTTTAAAGATATAAAGTGTCCTTTTGTCTTATTTGCTCATTCCAAAGCGTAGATTACGATGGAGAAGAACGAGAATATTGGCCGATTAGGCCTGGCTAAAAGTCAAAGTCAAAATCATTTATTTCAATTGAGCCCTTACAGGCGCTTTTCAACATCAAACAAAATTTTAAAGATATAAGTGTCAGTTTGTCCTATTTACTCGATCTAAAGCGTAGATTCCGGTGGCGAAGAACGAGACACTCCATGGATACTCTTTTTAAGTCAGTTTTAGAATTGAACATTGAATGTTAAGGTCTTTTGTATTGACAAAAAATATATCTTTCTCTCAACCTTTTTCATTTAATTTCATGGTCTTATGTCAATTAGAATCATCAAAATATTTTCATATTTGTATCGTCTTTCTAAATAATATCAAACAAAGACATATTTCCTGCAAAGATATCATTAAATTTGCCCTTAAGCTTTCCATCGTGGTAGTTCAACGCATAATCTTAATAATAATCTAAATGCGAGATTTACGATGTTTGGATGTTTGGTACTCAATCACTCCAAAACGGCTGGATGGATCTGGATAAAATCTGGCTCAGGCATATTAACATAACACGCCGGTTAAGCCGTGGGCGGAGAAAGCGACGGCAAAGGCGTTCGCTTAGGGTTTGATAAATGAAATAACAACCTGACGTCTTTTATTTTCAGATCCTCGGACGGAGAACTGGTGGCTGATGTCTGGACCTGGACCTCTGCTCACGATCCTCGCTTCCTACGTCTACTTCTGCACCTCCGTTGGCCCTCGGTACATGAGGGATAGGAAACCCTATGACTTGAAGAACACCATGATATTATACAACGTCTCACAAATCTTGATGAGCATATACTTGGTGTATGAGGTAAGTCCTCTGAAAGTCTTAAAGTAATTGAATGTCTAAAACTTGTAGCAAGTTGATCTTGATCTCTCTGACTCTAAGCTGCGGACATTATAGCCAACCTCTCGTATGTATCTATTTGATCCTGAAAAAAAAATATCCTGACATCATGCTAATAAATATTTTGTCCATTCTTTTCTAGGGTCTGGCGGCTGGATGGTGGAACGACTACAACTTCTCATGCCAACCAGTTGATTACTCGAACAACCCCAAGGCTCACAGAGTAAGTACCTACTACGATTTTTTATATAAATATTACACTCTAAAAAGTATTATATTCTATTCTCTTGATCTTCTATAAAAATCTAAGACTTTTTGCTACAATATGTAATATTTAAACACTGCACAAAAACTCATCTACACTGTATCCTTTACCAAAACCAATTTTCTAATGCATGTCACATTTCTTCTTTCAGATGGCGGCCGCTGTGTGGTGGTATTTTGCAGCCAAGATCATTGAGCTTCTGGATACAATCTTCTTTGTGCTAAGAAAGAAGAACAGGCAGATCACTTTTCTGCATTTATATCATCATTTCATGATGCCCATCTGCGCGTGGATCGGAGTCAAATTCTTGCCTGGTAAGTCTCAAAATAATTTCAAAAAACGCATAACCTATTTTATAAAATCAAGTTAGTCATATTTAAAACAACTGGGCTGTTAAAGTCAGAAATAATAAATATAAACTAAATTATTATTGAAGATGAAAAAGAATAGAAAACGAAAAAACCAAACCAAAATTGCTAAAAAGTAAAGAATTTTATATTTTTATTTTGGCATGAATGGGCCGTCTCAACCTGGCTGATACCAGAAAACCTTCGTGAAGAAACACTTATGTTTTGCTCTGTCAATGAGCTTACAGGAGACTTCATCCTTTCTGCCCTTGCTTCCCATCATCAATCCTCAAACTCCTATCCTTAAATCCCTTATAAACCACAAGGGTCTGGTGACGCACTTGTAGGAACTCCTTTGATGTTAGGACTGTCCATTGGCGGTGCCAATCGTCTACGCGTTAGCCAAACCTATGACATAAAAAAGGATTTGTCGTGGGTGCTCAGTTACCTAAAGAAAACAATAACTTTACTATATTTTTTTTTAATTCCAGGTGGTCATGGCACTCTCCTCGGAGTGATCAATTCTTTTATCCACATCATTATGTACACTTACTACCTGATCTCCGGTCTTGGACCTCAATACCAGAAATACCTCTGGTGGAAGAAGCACCTCACTACGATGCAACTGGTAAGTTGAACGAGAAATTTCCTTAAAATATTAACAAAAAATTTTGGTCCCAAGTTCTTGATATAAAAAGAACTTGATCAAAAAATTAAACGATCTGATTTAAAATCCTGATTTTGTTTAATCACTTCCTAATTCTCGGATTGACGCAAATAAAGATAATGTGATTGAAACAGAACGCAATCTTTGTAAACACTAGCGTAACCTGTTTCCTTGAAGGACATGCTAAAACCATTCGGACATTGATTGAAATTGAATTACCACAAACAAATAGGCCTATATTTGTATTATGTAAACTCATCTTAAAGTCTAGTTTACGAAGTAAAGTATGAATAAATAATCATTTGTCTATAGAAACAGTTGATGTAATATTTATAAAAGATTTTAATTAATTCAATCGCATATTTAAGTTTGGATGTATAACTATACTAAGCTATAGTGAGAAACGGAAGAAGAATCTTATAAACTATATTCTGTTTCCATTTCTCGGAAGTATTTGTCGCATTATTTATTGTTTATACGACCATAACATGACTAAAGTTATTGAAAAGAATTACTTACTCACGTGTTTACTAGATCTAGAAAAACCGGGAAAGTAGCACACTGAAAATCATTAAGTAAGATTACATAAGTCCTATTGTGACTTTTAACTACTAAAGGCTTAATGCTGCTGAAGACATTGAGTTTACAACAAGCATACTCAGTGAGACCTTACCTTCGACTTTGTTTTTTTTTTAATATTCGTATCGACTTAATCTTTGTTTACATTTGCGACATTGCCATTAACGCTCTGTTCTATTTCCAGATCCAGTTCTGCATCATCTTCTACCACAACTTCAGCGTTATGTTCTGCGAATGCAACTACCCTAAAGTCATCAACTTTTTGCTTTCCTTGAACGCTGGCCTCTTCCTTTATATGTTCGGTAACTTCTACTATGTAAACTATGTCAAGAATAAGACCACAGTCCAATCTCCACAGGTAACAAGTGAAAAAGCGAAAGAGTGCTAATACAAAGACTTTATAAAATAGAATTGTGATCGTTTTAGTTTAGTTAAATTGAAGCTAGAATTTATCTAGCTTCTTTATGTGATAGAATTGTGTTAAGGATTTTGAAACTGTGTGCTTACTCATTTTTGTTACTCATTAATGATCTTACTTCGTTGGGAAAGACTCTAATGATCCTTGCTCAATTTTGATCCTTCTCTTTAACGTTATGTTTGTCAATTTAATGCTACTCATACCTTTACGCTTAAACAATTATTGTTATTTTATTCATTATTTTGTTTCATACAGAATTTTTCAAAATCTGTAACACATATAATAAGTACGTACTATGTTAGTAAGCTTATTAGACTTTTACCATTTTTTATAGGCTAATGACTGTATATTTGTACAAATAGTTGTAATTTTTGGTTAAGGTAATATGTTATTATTGAATCAATGATATGTTATTGTATTTGATTAATTATTTGCCCTGATTTCATAAACAAACCTGTATTTTGAAATACAAGTTTTGTTATGACGAATTCTTATAAATATCATTTATGTACGACTTATTTATTTAGCATTTTATTGTTATTTAGAGGCTCATAACTCTGCCGCTTTTCTCTTACTGTTATTTTATTAAAATATTTATTTTCCTTTTTAAACTATGTATAATTGTATGTAAGTATGATTTATATATTTAAATGCTAAATAAATAAGTCAACAAAACGTTACCTGCAAAGTTACCAATACTTATATTTTATTTGATACAAATTGTTGCAGTTGACGAAATATTTTTTATGCAAATAAAGCCCGGATAATTATTTCTTATTTTTAATTAAACAACAAATTATTGTTACCACTAGACAATATTATACTTAATAATTATTAACTACAGAGTTGTAATACAGAGAAAAAAATTGACACGAAGGGTTTGCTAAAATAATCATTATTGATTTTACTGTCAACAATGCAATTTTAATTTATTTATTTTTATAAGTTGATAACCAAATATATTTTATTTTTACCTAAAATGTGACACTTTGTATCGAAATTACAAGCTTGTAAATTATTTTATTTTTATTAATAAAAAAGATATTATTATTATTATTTTGTTCCGACATAAACAATGCAATAAGACTTGTTCATTTTTTATGAGAATTGAATATGAAATAAATGGGTAAATTGATGATTTTTTGTTTTGTTTTTAAAGTGTTTCCCAAATATCAAGCGTATGCCAAAAAATATTGGTTACATTTCTTCTCTTTTTGGCGGATGTATAAGAAAGAAGATTGAACAAATTACTATGGCACCCCATTGCGCTCTTTTGGCACAGAATATCTACTAGTGATAATTAGACACAGACGAGGATTATTGACATATTCATTCACCTCTTGTTTGCCGGTATATGAGACACAATAGAAAACGTGTTATGTGTGTTTGTACATATCACGGGTTAAAGCAAAGTTAAAAACAAATTGGTACATTGTAGGGGATTGGTAAATTGTCATGGTGGCCCGAAGGTTAAGGAGCCCGCTTCTCATGCACGAGGGTGTGGGTTCGAAGCCTGGCAAGTACCAATGTGACTTTTTCCAAGTTAGATGTACTTTCTATGATTATTTAGACACCACTGACATACGGTGAAGGTAAACATCGTGAGGAAACCTGGACTTATAATTTCTAATTATAAGTTTGAAATCCCGCATTGAGCAAGCGTGGTGATTAATGCTCTAACCTTCTTCGTATGAGAAGCGGCCTTTGCTCAGCAGTGGGAACTTATAGGCTGATGATGAGGGGGTTTTTCAAAACCTTTACTTACTCAGGATATAATTTGAGGTTCATAAGCAATGTTGTTTTGAATCTGCACGTATTTAAATACATAGGTCAGCCGGGGTTGCGGGGTAAGCGCAATTAGGCACCGCGACCTCGGCCCAGAGCAGGAACAGGGGGGTTTTTAGTCAGTAAGAGTCTGACACTCCCTCCCGCCCGGGCATTGTAGTTAAGGTTTGAATAGTTTTAATTGTTCTTTTAATCAATCGATTCAGATAACTTAGCCCTTCACTATACCGAAAAAATAGTATATACTAAAAGTAATTAAATTAAAAACCTTACAAATGTATTAAATATTTGCTTAAGTGACTATATGCTTCAAAAAGGGAAACCATGAATGCTCAAAAGCCATACCTTATAATTGTTCTAAGGACGAAGTGTGTGATTTTATCCGATCAGAGTCCGACATGGATCGTTCATGACGATTTTCTCACGGTACAAAAGGTACCTATATAAAAAAATTATGAGTAATTTATATAATTTCTAGACCTAGGAATAAATTATCCAATTTAAAGGAGCTATATAAACGTAAAGTTAAGTTGACACTATACAAACTCTCAATGAAGGTTAATGGTAATGTTATAAATAATAACAAACTAACTATTAAAAAGAATATCATAATCTTACGAGTATTAAAAACTTTTGGTCAAAGTAACATTGGGAACTTTTCACCATCATCATCATCATCATTAGCCTATAAGTGCCCACTGCTGAGCAAAGGCCTCTTCTCACACGGAGAAGGTTTGAGCATTAATCACCACGATTGCTCAATGCGGGTTGGCGATTTAACATAACATAGTTTATTGCACACATGCGCAATGCTAAATGTTAACAATAACGGTATTGATGACATTATTAAACAGGCATAGCCTAACGACCTTTTTTTTAGGCGGGAAATCCTCTTGTCTTCTCTTACCCTTACGTCCTTGAGTGAGATGAAAGGGAGCATCAGACTCTTACTAACTAAAAGCTACCCTTCCTTGCCTTTACCCTTCTTTGCCTTCTCCTTTCTCGAACCGGGGTACATCATTGCACTTGCACTCGATACCCATTATCATCAGCCGGGAGACGTCCACTGCTGAACAAGTTGCCACTTGCATCCATTTGCTCTCCGAGACTCTGATGATATCGTCGGTCCACCTAGCGGAAGGCCTGCCTACTCTACGTTTTCCGGTCTTGGTTGCCACTCAAGTAAAAACTGTACTAACGTATTATTATTATGTATCTTGTAAAGAACTATAATATAATTTATTTAAATTTGTGAGAAAAATTGTAACAACGTGTAGGTACACATATTAATTTAACAAGAAAGCAATTAAATGAGGTACAATACTTTCGAACAATTACAATGAAAATGTATGTATTGTGTTATGTAATGTATACATTTCAGTATTAATAGTTTAAATGAACGAAGTGTAAAAGGTTGAAAAAAAGTTTGCGAACACGAATATAATTTAAATAAAATTAAACGTAAAATTGCTTTGACACGATGACTCTGTTCGTTTGTATGTAGATAGTTTTTTGGTGTGAAAAATAAGAATGAATTCGCGTGCTATGAATGCTTAATTTCCAATATTACAAAAAAAACCATAGGCCATATATATATATCACTATACTTATTACAATTTATTTTAGCAAGTAGGTGGACTGACGACATCCGCAGGGTGGTTGGCAGTGGTTGGATGAGAAGAGCTGGACATCGAGCTCAGTGAATTGGGGAGGCCTATGTCCAGCAGTGGACGACATCATCAAAAGGCTCAAAGTATCTAATAATTGAATATGGTAGTTTTTAATTAGTCAAATGCCACACTTTTTTTCAAATATAACAAAATACTTAAACATTTTTTTATTTATTTTGAATGAAATAGCATATTTTTTTTATGTCAAAAAGGAAACTTAATCACAGATCCACAAATTGTTGTTTCGAGTATGTGTGTAATGGATTTGTGAAATTCTATATTTGTACGCACAGGAGAAAATCCGAGCTTGGGGCAACGTTTTTCTAAAAAACGAAAAAAGAATAAAATCTTAAAAGACACGAATATTAAATGTATCGTGAAATTCAATATTTTTCAGTTTTTTTTTACTTTGGAAGTTCTTATTGTTTGAAGTATTACCTACATAAGTATAAAAGTATTTGTATTATAGACGGATGTTGAATCTGATTACTTGCAAAAAAAATTTTAGATCTTCCAATTTGATGTCACTTCCATCCAGCGTCAAACTCCTACCATCTTTCTCTGGGTATCCTGCCTGCTCCTTACATATGCTCTTAAAAAAATGTCATGCATCTAAAACTATTGGTTATTACAACACATAAATAAAAAAACGGCATTTGAGTTCGTTTATCCGTCTGTGAAATTTTGTGCTACCAAATTTTGGTAACTATACGCTAGAATGATAAAAATATTATTCGAACTTCGAATATGAGCACAAAAATACGCAATTTTTTTTTTTCAACAAAACAATTGACAGACAATCTTCGTACTATTAGATATGGCAAGCAAAAACAATATCGTGTAAAGCCATTAATTAAAAATGTGCTTTATAATTCATGACGATAGTAATTAGTGATACAAGGAATTCGTTTAGTGAAACTTTAATGGTAAATAAAATCAATGTGCACCGATGATTGTGTTTAGTTTTAGTTAGGAAGTGGACCATTAGGCTCGAAATTTCTCTTTAAGAGAAAAATAAATTTAGTGTGATATTTTTAGTTAGAAATTCAAATCAAGATGTCGGTTCTGGAGAGAATGAAGGATACTTATAATTATATTTTTTATGATCTCTGTGGTAAGTGTTTATATTGTTTTCATTTATATTTTATCATTATTAATGAAAATAATATCATTTTTTTTGAAGAAAAATAAAAGTATTCATTCACATTTCGCGCGGCTTCACCGGCTTGAAATCATTTTTTTCTCTTTTTTATTTGTAAAAAATCTTTTTTATCAAGTGTCCTGAGATATTTTTATTACATGTGCGAATATCTGTACCTAGTTTCGTGACAATAAATACTGAGCATCCCCACATTCATATAAGAAAAAAATACTTTCTCAACAATATAATTTAGTTCAAGTCCATTTTAGATGTTAAACAATAAATATTGATAATTTGTAATTCGGAAGATTGTAACAACTTCGAGGTCCAAATCGAATCCAGAAAAATCTCGAAGAACAACCAATCATTTTAAGCCTGTCAAAAATGTTGAAGGCATTTGAACTAATTTTAATTACATTTTAATAGATATTTGATCGTTACTCGAATTTAATTAGGTATTAATGACGACATTACATAATATACTTGTACAACTGCGGTTTCTTCAAAACAAACCTCAAATTGAACCTTAGCATAAAATGGAATAATGTACTGAGGCTTGTAAGAATAGAAGGAATAGTGGTGGTATAGTCTTTGCCACGCACAGTCTGACAATTTCTCCAGACCCATCCATAACTCCTGTCATTTAAACATTTTAACAAAAAAAAAAAGTAGTGTTACGTGTTATGTTTTGTATATATTTAGGACACATCGAGTTAAACTTCAAATACAGGCTTCTTAAGGTCACGATCAATGATAAAGTTAAAGGAAAGAGAAGACCAGGCCGTAGAAAAAGATGCTGTCTCTGTAGTCTCCGTCAATGGGTTCAGAGGAATACCATATCGCTGTTTCGGATTGTCGTTTCTAAAGTACAAATTTTAATAGCCTACATAATAACAAAATTTTGCAAGAAGATAGCAGCATTGAATAAATATACATATTATATTTTGTGATATATATAGTTATCGTAGAAATAATCGAATTAATGAAATTTTAACATTTCATAAAAAAAGTTATTTTAAAAATATTGTATCATCAACTTAGCTAAATATAAATGATGTCAATAAACGAATTGTAATAGAAGAATTTCATTGAACGAAGTCATATTATACTCTAATAAATAAGCAATATCGGACCAAAATTATTTTCGGAGCCTGTGTCCTCACGTTTCCCTTAACAGTCAGTCAGTGGTTTTAAAATAAGCTTCAAAATTTTGCTTAGAAAAAGTCATAGGTAACAACACGTGTTAGGTTTCAAACCCACGCATTTGAAAAGCGAACGCCTAACAAGATTGTCATTTTCAATAAAAAAAATAGAAAGAACACAATAGGTATATATGTACATGTATTCAGAATTTGCGTAAGTAATTGCCTTACGGTGTTCTTATCAGTTGCGTGTGAGCCAGTGACGCGGGTGCACACGTTTTATGCGCGCGCGTACACGTCTATATTGCAACAGTTTTATAGTTATTGTTTTTATTATGATCATTTTAAATGGGTGAAGAACAGACTAATATTGATTTCTGCTACACTAGTAGCAGTGAAATAATGGAGGAGGATATAGGAGATGAAAATGAGCAACAAGTTGATAAGAGTTTGACAGAAGAGAGGAGTTTGAATAAGAGAGGAAATAGTGAGCAACGGATGCCAGAAAAGAGAGGACGTCAAGATGATGACGAAGTTGTAGAGGATGATGAAGGTTTTGTCACGATTGTAAGAGGACATAAGAGAGCTGCTAGAAGAGATTCTAAGGAAGTTCTGAAGGAGACTACCGAAGTTGAGGAATGTGTGGTTTGTGTTACAAGCAATAAAGAAAGATTTCCTAAGCAATTTGGTATGGCAAAATGGTTACGAGGGTCCGGCATTGAAAATATTACTAAAATGAGTTATAAAGGTCCATACAAGATTTTAATTCATTTTGAAAACAGAGAAAGTGCTTTGCAATTGATATCATCTACAAAATTACACGAGTTCGAATATCGGGCTTACATAATAAATGAATTACAACTAGCCTACGGAATTTTGAGACAAGTTGACTTAGAGATGGAAGAAAAAGAAATCCTTGATAATTTGAGATGTGAATTTGAAATACAATCTGTTAAAAGACTGAAAAGACTGGATAATAGCGGTAAATGGATTGATTCGGAAACCATAAGAATATGCTTCAAAAGCTCAACTTTGCCACCATACGTATATGGGTATGGTTGTAGGTTTCAAGTTGAGCCTTTCACATTCCCTGTCTCTCAGTGTTCCTCGTGTTGGAAGTATGGCCACCTTTCCCGCTCGTGTCCAAACAAGTATCTAACGTGCCCCAAGTGTGCAGGCAAACATGCAAATTGTGAGACGACAATTTATGTGTGTGTTAATTGCAAAGGGCCTCATATGGCATTAAACAAAATATGCCCAATATTTATAAAAGAAAAGGCGATTAGAGACATAATGACTAAGGATCGCTGCACTTATAGAACCGCTTTAGAAACATACAATAAAAAAGTTGAATATCTTAAAAATCCGATGCATCAGAATGACTTGCACAAAGTAGACAAACAGGTAAATCACAATAATATTATGCAAACGAGTTCTCAAATCAACATCACACAAGAGGCGAGCAACGACAATCTAAACCGGTTCTTTATCACTACTGATGCTATTATACACAATGAAATACCAACGTCCGAGAGTTGCGCGGAAGTGGACGAAACAGGTCAAGATAGCCACCCGTGTTATAACCACAATAAAAAAAGGAACAAATTAAGGAAACATAATTTAGATGAACAAAGGTATCAAAGTCGATTATATAGTGAAGTTGTAAATACATCTAAAGAAAAAAACACTAAACAGGACACAAATAAATGTATCCCGGATTTTGAAATGAGTTTTTCGAATATTGTTAAACGAATTAAAGATATATGCACCTCGGATAGTACCTTAGATATTAAAATAAGTATGATGTACAGTTTTTTGGTAAAAGTTTGTGTTCAAATTGTATTAAAGTTTTTGAAGAACGGTGATTTTTGTAATAAAATTATGTCGTTATTTATAAATGGCTAATGATAGTAATAAAATGTTAACGATTAATATTATGCAGTGGAATGCACAGAGTTTACGCCCTAAACTAGCTGAGTTTGAACTTTTACTTATCCAGGAAAAGATACATATTGCAATTATTTCGGAAACCTGGCTCGATACGGAGTCATATATAAAAATCAGTGGATATAACATTTTTAGAACCGATAGGAATGACGGCTACGGAGGTGTGGCTATATTGATCCATAGAACAATAAAAACGCAACAATACCCTATAAAGATTAATAATTTAGGAATAGAACTAGTTTGCGTTGAATTACTTAATAATAATTATATTAGTCATATTATTTCACTTTACTGTCCATCGTCGGTTCGTTGTACTAAATTTGACTGGGAACAATTATTCGCGTTATTTCCAAAAAAATGTGTTATAGCAGGTGATTTTAATGCTCACCACTTGAATTGGTCTATTAAGAATGATACACGCGGTATTCAATTATATGATGCAGCATTGGATTCGGGATATATTTCTTTAAATAATAAGGATATTACCAGAATTAAATATGTCAATAACATTGTTCAAAAAACATCTCCTGATATAACGTTTGTCTCGTCCGAACTATCCTATATGTTAAATTGGAAAGTACTTAATGAAAACCTGGGAAGCGATCATCTGTGTATAAAAATCAGTTTTAGTATAATAGACTCCATTAGTATGACTTTTAAACGTAATTTTAAATTAACAAAATGGAAAGAGTACACAACGTCATTAAATGAATACTTTTTACATATTTCATGTGATAGCCCTAGTCCGTCAGTACAATCACTGTATGATACATTTATAGACATTATTAATAAAGCGACGGATGAGCACATCCCAATGGTAAAAACATGTACTGATCCCAAAAAATGTTTTAGACCTAAACCCTACTGGAATCCTTCCTTATCGAAGCTAGTAGCAGAACGGAGACTAGCTCTAAGTCAGTTTAGAAAAAATCCCACTCCACGCAATCTGACTATTTTGGAAAATAAAACACAAAAAGCTAAAACAGCTATTCGACAAGCTAAGTTACACAGCTGGCAAGATTATTGTAGCAGTATAAACGAGCAAACGTCCAGTTCAGAAATGTGGAAGCGTATGAGATGGGCTAAAGGTTTTAGGTCATCCAGTACTAATTCTCAGATATCAAATGATCAGAAAGTTGAACTTTTGACTAGTCTTACACCGGATTATGTACCTTCAAAATCACCCGAATTCCTCTCCCATAACTCGTTACTTGAACAACATTTTACAATACACGAATTGAATAATTGTTTTAAAAAGAAAGACACATCACCGGGTCATGATGGAATAACTTATTCAATGTTATTTAATTTGCCACTTAGTGGAAAGCTTTATTTATTGAAAATTTATAATCGTATTTTAGAAACAGGTTCTGTCCCAACACAATGGCGCGAGATATATATAACGCCTATACCAAAAGCATCACCAGCTGGTACTATGAAGGTCAGACCCATTTCATTAATATCCTGCGTGTGTAAAATGTTACATACAATGCTTGCTAGGCGTTTGGAGTGGTTTATTGAAAAGGAGAAATTACTATCCTCATATACATCTGGCTTTAGGAGAGGAGAATCGTGTCAAGATTGCTTAGTCAAGTTAATTAGTCAAATTTATTTAGGTTTTTCAATCAATTCCCCCACTGTAACATGTTTTCTCGATATCGATAATGCCTATAATAACGTAGTAATAAACATAATGGCAACAACATTAGATAACATTGGAATTGGCAAAACAATATGCAGGTACATATGGAATTTTTTGAGCGAAAGACATTTATACATAAAATGTGAAGGTAATTATAACAATTACTTAGTAAGACAAACAGATAAAGGTTTGGCTCAAGGTGATCCAATATCCCCACTTCTTTTTAACATTATCACATACAAAAGTTTTCAAGTACTTAATAACGTTAATATGTGTCAATACGCGGATGATTTTGTTTTGTTTAAGACGTCAAACAATTTATTACAATGTAAACAAGATATGCAAACAGCTTTATACAATTTTTGTGATGTTATGAGGGATGTAGGATTGGAAGTGTCAGCAACTAAATCAAAAATATGTGTCTTTTCTAGCGGTTATAAAAAGTTGGATATTGATTTAAAATTGCACAATTGTAAACTGGATTTGGTAGATAGCTATAAATATCTAGGTATTTGGCTCGATAGACGCTTGCGTTGGTCTAGACACATAAGCTCTATTATAGAAAAGGCTAATAAACATCTTAACCTACTTAAAGTGTTAGCGGGCTCCACATGGGGCTTACACCCTAAGCATTTGCGGCATATCTATATTGCGTTAGTTAGAAGCCGTTTAGACTACAGTTGTTATGTATACGACTGCAGTGCTAAATCTCATTTGTACAAGATAACTAAGGTTCAAAATCAGGCGTTAAGAATTATAGGAGGATTTATCAAATCCACTCCGATTCATGTAATGGAAAGTGAACTCTGTATACCGCCACTGCATATAAGACGAAAATATTTAGCTTATAAGTTTTGCCTTAAGTCCAAGTCTCGATTAAACAATACGATAACTGGTTTGTTATCAGATCTTCAAAATGTTTGTAACAATTATTATTGGAGAAACAAAACGATTCCATTGCTTGTATCTGTATATGACGAAGTCAAACAAGAACTTGTGACTTCCTGTGATCCTTTAAAAATGTTTACATTAAGAAGGTGGGTTTCTAATTTTAATGTTAGTGAACTAATTGTATCGGAATTGGATTGTGTTACTAAGTCAAAGAAATCCTACGAAATTAATTTATTAAATCAAGCAATAATTGATGAGCTGTATTCTAAGTATAAAGGCTGGTTTCCTATATTCACAGATGGTTCAAAGAGTGTAAATGGTCAGGGATCAGCATTTTATGTACCTAATACCTCAATACCTAACCTAGGAAATTGTTTTAGAATTAATGAAAATGTTTGTATTATGACCTTGGAGCTTATTGCAATTTCAGAGGCAATATCTTATATTGGTAACAGTATCGTACATCAGAAGGTAGTTATTTTGTCTGACAGCAAAAGTTCACTACAGCACATAGCTCGATGCGCCTCTGGTTCTAGAGGTGCATCGCTAGCTTATGATATTCTTAATAAGATGGACGAACTAACAGACCGGGGTATGCTTCTGAGGTTGCAATGGGTTCCATCGCATACTGGCCTAAGAGGTAATGAGGAGGCTGACATGTTGGCTAAATCTGCAATTTCTTCAGGGAAGGAAATGAATATTATACCAGATTATTCAGAACTTTTGCCTAAATATAAAAAAAATTGTTTACAAAAGTGGAAGGAATATTTCAATGAGCACTCAATAGAAAAGGGTATATGGTATAAGACTATCCAGTGTCAGCCCCTTCATATTCCCTGGTGGGAAAACACAAACCTGAATAGGAAACTGGTTGTCATAGCTCACAGACTTAGATCTGGACATATACTATGCAATAAATTCAAATTTATGATGAAGAAGACTGACTCACCAAACTGTGAAGATTGTGGCGTATGTGAAGACTTATATCATTTATTGGTGGAATGTGTCCGGTTTGATTCTGGGAGAACGGGTTTAATAAATACCTTTAATTTGAACAGACTGGATGTTGGCGTATTCAATGTGATTCTTAGTCAACCCAACTCCAATGTAGCAAAATTCTTGTTTGAAGTAATGTCATCAAAATAATTTAATTAGGTATAAATATTAAGTTCTTTTTATTATGTTATTTAGTTTACATATCTTGTTACTCAAGTATAATTAGGGTATAATAGGACTGGTATACATAAAATGTAAAAGTCCTGATAAATAAATAAATTAAAAAAAAAAAAAAAAAAAACGGTGTTCTTATGTTAAAGATCAAATCTATATACATAATATTAACATATAAAATTGTATGTGTAAAGGTCAGTGCAAAAACGTAACGAGAATATATTTATTATTTATTAGTTACTGTTAGCTGAAACACAGACACATATACAGCAGATATACGAGTACGTACACAGGTGTTATATTGTTAAATAAACGAAAATCTAGGTTCTGCAAGAAAATTTCGTGTGTAGATACAGAACTTTTTCTTTATGGCTCTATACTTATCACTGAATTTTTTTTTCTATTTATTTGAAAATATACTGAATTTTATTTATCAATGGAATAGATAGGTTGGCAGTCGTGAAGAGGTTAAGGCATCCGCTTCTCAGGCGTATTTTGCCAATCTGCGTTACAAGCGTGGTGATGAATATTCGAACCTTTTTTGCATGAGAAGGGGCTTGTATTCAGCAGTGATTGCTTATTGGCAGCTCATAGAACTCAGTTGGATTAAGAAATAAAAAAATGTATATACCTATGTACACCTGCAGTAGCCTCTTACTCTATAAATACATAAGTTTTTGTAAACATCACCTTTTTTTCTTTTCAGATCCAAGGACAAGAGATTGGTCACCATCCCCTATAGCAATATTCACAATTATTCCATTCTATTTATATTTTTGTAACAAATTGGGCCCACAACTCATGAAAGATGAAAAACCTTTCAAGTTAAAAAGGATCATCATGATCTACAATATATTCCAAATAATTGCTAGCGGTTATATCTTTTATTTGGTAAGTATTTCTTTAGTTTGAATATTAATTTACCTTCACAATTAAAAAGTAATATAAGAGATATTTATGTTTTCATAACATTTGTTAGCACCGTTGTGATTGGTAATGAGAAGCCGGGAAAATTAAGCCTGTTCTAGAAAAAACTAATGTGACTATGTTTGAGACTCTTATATATAATTAAACAGGCAGAAAATTGTAATGAAGCAGATGAAGTAATGGAGGACAAATTTTAAAGATCAAATCTGGTAAAACTCTGTTAAAAATTTAGAGATGAGAAAGAAATGAGAGCCATACCTCGGTTCGACGGGAATGATCCACGGCCACAGAAAAAATAACTGTGAAAGTACCACATCGTTGTGCTTTGCCGTGTGACGTTACAATTCCAAAATCATTCCCTCCCTTGTTCAATACCCAAATCCTTAATCCTCAAATCCCCAACCTCCAAAAGGCCAGCAATAACCTCGTCCTCATATGTTGAGGGTTCGGAGATGAGTGGAACAGTTTGCTGCTTCAACACATAAAATAATAGAGATATGTAACTTCTTCATCCTTCGCGATCCTAGGCCACAAAAACCGTTGCATAAACCGTCACGGAGGGAGAGAAAGACCAATTAGGTAATAAATAATGTTAATCTATGTTTTACATGTTCCAGGGCTTATTCAGTGGTTGGTTTACTACGTATAGTTGGACATGTCAGCCCGTAGATGAGACCGACAACCCTACAACAAGAACGGTGAGTAGACTGTACATAGCAAAATTATATAAAACTCAAAGTTTGAATAAAACTTTTTTAAGCGATAGTATAGGGTAGTTTTTAATAAGTATGTAATTTTAAGCATATAAATCTGCAGACCCATAATCCACTTACACAGCGAAACATAAACTAGCTACATTTTTATTCTGAGAATATTTTTTGACCTAAGGTTGTGTGAAAGAGATCAAATATCATCTCCCATCCTGGTTGGTGCAAAAAGGGTCAGACTCGTTCGTTGCGGGATCCAAGACAGTCATTCATGTCCCTGGGACGCGCAGGACTTCAGTGTTCCGGTGTTTTCATGGCACGCCCCAACAAAAAAAGACTCGTATAGACTAGAAACCCGATTCTCCTCCTCCTCCGGGTCAGGGCTTCATCACAAAATTGCGCTTTTACCCGCAACCCCAAACTGGAGAACTATCACTAAGCCAGTAATAAAAAATAAATACAAATAATGTATGTATTGTATTACTTTCAGATGCACAATGCGTTCTGGGCCTACACTATAGTGAAGTTCATTGACATGCTTGACACAGTTTTCTTCGTTCTAAGGAAAAAAGATAGGCAAATATCATTCTTACATCTGTTCCATCATTCCATGATGCCTCTTGCATCCTATATTGGACTCAAATACTACCCCAGTAAGTACTATTTTAAATTGAAGTATTAAAATGAAAATTTGAATGTTAGTATTTCATTGAAATATCAAAATAATTGGTTTTATAAACTGTCTTACACCCGGTTTCTGAAAGGCTTGTCAACGCTAAAATTAACTAATCTCCTGTAAAATCTCTTGTCAAGTCATCTGATTGGTTGACTGAATTATCAACAACCAATCAGATGACTAGACAAGAGATTAAATTGATTTTAATATTGATCGGCCTTTCGGAAACCGGGTTATAATGTATTAATTTAAAGTGCCTGACTGTAATATCCGAGCATAAAATAGACAAACCACAACAAGCCGTAATAAAAATAAAAATACTAATTTAGATAAATAATAAATAAATAAATAATATAATAACCAGAATCAAATAAATAAATATAAATCAAATAAAGTAATAACAATATTTTTACTTTCAGATGGCCACGCAACTCTACTCGGCCTCATTAACAGCTTCGTCCACGTAGTGATGTACACCTACTACCTGATCGCAGGTCTTGGTCCTAAGTACCAGAAATATATCTGGTGGAAGAAGCATCTCACTACTATGCAGTTGGTATGTAGACATTATGATTTGTTTATGTCTTAGGTCGGCAAAAGAGCGGACGTATTACCGGATGGTAAGCAATCCCCGCAGTTTCGTAAGTAATTATGGATTTAAGGATATCGGAATTTGAGGATTGAGGAACGGGATAGAGTCATTGGGCCTCCAGTAACCTAACTCACACGGGGAAACACAAAATGAGTATTGTTTCACGTCGGCTTCTGTGAGGCCGTGGTATCACTTAGTTTGAGCCATCCAATCAATTATCAATCGTATTCCTGTGTTTACCTGGATACATAAATGACTAAGAAACTATTTCACGATCCTCATATAAATTCCCGATAAACTTATGTAGCATATAGTTTAAAATACAAATTTATTAAAAGACATTGTTAAATGGCCCTAAGAAAGTTCAGTATCGATAATCGTTATCGCTTTATAAAGAAACGCATAGAATACGTGACTTATCGACGACCTTCAGTAATGTCCATACATTTGTTTCGTTTCGAAAGCGATAACGATTATCGATATTGAACTTGGTTAGGGGAGCAGGATCTTAATATTGTTAAAAAAATAGTTAAGTATACTTTAATATTTTCCATCCAAATAGTTCAGAGTTCATTCAAATTAATCTATTGACTTACTTTGTGTCCAAGCACTTAATAACACTATCCAAACACCTTTAGGCTTGACTTGCCTTGAGATTTTTTTGTGAAATTGTACTTAAATAATAATAAGGGTATTCCATTTAGACATTTTAATAATAAAAAATATTTTACTACAAAACACAATAGTACCAAAAATAATGAGAATAAATGAACTCTAATCGATAATATAACATAAATCTAAAAGACAGTTCTACCTTCTTCCACAGGTCCAGTTCGCTACAATTTTCCTTCACAATTTATCAGCTCTTTATGAAAACTGCGGCTACCCAAGATGGATTTCCACCGTTTTATGCGTACACAGCCTTCAGTTCCTATATATGTTTGGCAATTTCTACTACGTAACTTATGTAAAAGAAAATAAATCAAATTCAAATGGAAGTCTCAAAAATGGAACTCAAAAAGTCAAAGCTAATTAATTATTTGATGTATTTGAGAATAATTTTAAGACTAACTAGTCCTACAAATTGATTGAATGATGAGCTAAGTTGTGAACAGATGTGATTCTTAGTTTAAAAATAGTTTGTTTTTTATATGGTTGTCTGAGTCTGTAAGCTTCTTTATATGTTACCGAATTTATGGAGGATATTGCAGATTACATCAATACTAATTCCTAAAAGTAACCATGATAAGAGTAACGACCTTGAGTCAGATGGATTCTTTAAGAAGAATCTGTTGGAATATTCACAGGTTTTCACAGAAAACAATATTTGTTTGTGAGACTATCCGAATATTTGTAAATATTCTCTGAAACCATTAAGATAATAAAAAACTCCTCAATAAGTAAAATTTTTAAGTAATCTTAATCTTGTAAGAGATCGTGCGTTGTGACGCCATATCTATGTTGCATTAAAAAAAAAAATATTTATTTCATGAATACAGTGGAAGTGTGATTGTTTTTAAATGTTTCATAGTAAATAAATAAAAGGTTGCAATGGTTTATATTTGACTTGATACTAGAAAATACTAGGCTTAACATTGTTATCAATAATTAATATAACCTATGCTACTCAGAAAGAATTCAGCTTTACAATGACGAAAGTTCTTTTTTTAAATTGGCTTGTAGATTTTGATTTCACTGATTTACAAACATGATAAAACGAAAAGGCACATTTTTCTTCATTATAATATCAGTTAAATAATGAATTTAAATTTTGTAAATATGCCATAAACTTATTATACTACATGTAAAAAACTAGATGAAGCCGGCATTTCCTATCTGACTACCCTGAGAAGAAATGCTGATACAAACTCATAGGTGAAGAAAAACTATTTGTCTATCTAGCCTGTTAATACTCATTATTTTTATTAAGTTATATATGTATATTATTTTATTTTAATTTGATTATGATAAAACAAGATAGTGAAGATGTAACAAAGTGTCTGCCATCGTAATTTGTATGGTTGTGAGAATTTATGTAATTAAAATAGTAAAATAAATTATGTTATTGCTATATTTGTGCTTCATTTTTATTTCTTGTTTTTTTTTTAATGTAATAAGTCGGCAAACGAGCAGACGGATTACCTGATGGTAAGCAATCAACGCCGCCTATGGACACGCAACGGAGGAGTTACGAGTGCGTTGCCGACCTTTTAGGGATTAGGCATTTGAAGATTTAAGGATTGAGGAGGGATTGGGGGCGGGGAAGGATTGGGCCTCCGGTAACCTCACTCACACGGCGAAACACAACGCTGATTGTTCGCTGGTTGTTTCACGCCGGTCTTCTGTGAGGCCGTGGTATCACTCCGGTCGAGCTGACCCATTCGTGCCGAAGCATGGCTCTCCCACACTTTTTATATTGATTTGTTTTAATATATTCGCATGGCGTCTTCATCGTATTACGTATGGCATTTAATCATATGGTAAGGAAGGTCATCGATGTTTTACCTGATAATACCTTTATTTTCGGTACCTACCTAGTTTCCTAAAATTTCTTTCCTAAGTTGTTTGAAGAAAAAATGTTGTTTTTCGATATTTGTATTTTACATTTCATATCATTCATAAGTTATGGTTTAGTTATGAAAATACTAGCTTCATCGAGTAGCGTGGCTCGCGTTTTAACTTAATAAAAAGTCCTATATGATATGCCAGACTTACATATATACTATATCTATCGCTCTGCTAAGTTTTAATTAAAGTCATGTCATGGGCATCGTCGTTGCTTACTTACAGTTAATTTGGCAATTTATCACAAAAATAATGATTAGTGTGTAAAAATACGCAACTCTACCACACTAGATCTAAACGTATCGGTGGGATGAATTACCTGGGTTCTCTTATGCCATTTTGTTTTTAATTACAAATGATCGCTCAGTTGTAGAAGGAAAGTCTGTTATTATAAACGAAATTAAGTTAAACTGAAAATGTTCCATGGTATCTATTAAAAAATAATGTCTCTTCAAAAGAGTGCCTTACCAACTTGACTTAGCAAAATGTTTCTGTTTAGCAAATTGCCATTTTTGTAATTCTATAAAAATAAAGAGTTAATTTTTGTATGAACGCGCAAATCTCAGGAACTGCTGTATCAATTTGAGTTTTTTTTTATTGTTGGGTCGTCTATTTGTAAAAGTCATATTTTAAGACATTATCAATTGCATATTGCAATCATTGAAGCTGAGCGCAGTTGAATGAAACTTTTTGAATATACCTAGTTAGTTATTTTCGTAAAAAAACCTAACCTATTAGCACTATTTTGTGACTCTATTTGATCGTAACGTGATAATTTATAGCCTATAGCACTCAGAAACATTGTAACTATCTATCAGTCAAAGAATTTTGGCATTCGGACTAGCAGTTCCAAAGATCGCCCCTACATAAAAACTTAAAAATTTTACCTCTTTTTAATATTAGTGTAGATTACTTCAAACTCTTATTTTTAGTGGTGCATCTTGTAGCTGTCATTAAAAATCTCATCTCAAATCTTTTTTTGTTTGATAACCATTTCGCTTCTAGAATGTTATAATTTCCTAGTAATTTAAGTTGCGATTAAAAACACGTGGTAATAAGTATGTGGTAAAAAACCGGTTTTGTCATAATTGTTACCAGCCAGGTTTCATTAAATATTGCACTTAAAAGGTCTAAGAAAACCTGTTTTTAATGATACATTAAATATTGAATTTAATGGCAACAAAAATATTATACAAAAATGAGTAGGTAATGAGGTATCTACATTAAAAGCCTCTTTGGTAATTGCTATAAACAATTAAAAATGTTTCAGTTAAAATATAAGTCTTTTTTCTAAACCCTTCCAACAAAGGAACTGGGGTGCAGTTCCTAAAACTCCGGAACCCTAATCGCCGCCAATAATTGCTTTCCACTAGATAATTCATCTATTCGTTTGTAAATCTACGTCATAAAAAAATAAAAAAAAAACGAAAGCTGCTTATAAAATATTGGTATTGCAAAAAAAATCTATTCCGATTTTACTCTAGAGGCCGGTAATGATGATGAAATATTTTTTTTTATTAATAAATATGGATTGGTGACATTTAAGTGCAAACGACAGTAATTTTTTTTATGTGATAGTACGAGCGGACGGATTACCTACCTGATGGTAAGCAATCAGCACCGCCCATAGACACCCTCAACAACAAAGGAGTTACGAGTGCGCTGCCGACCTTTTGGGGATTAGGGATTTGGAAATTTAGGAATTGGGGGAGACGAAACATTGGGCCTCCGGTAACCTCCGGAAACACAACGCTGTGCTTGTTTCATGCCGGTTTTCTGTAATGCCGTGGTATCACTCCTGTCGAGCCGATCCATTCGTGCCGAAGCATGCTCTTCCACACTTACACCCGGTTTCTGAGATTCTTGTCAACGCTAAAATTAACTAATCTCCTGTTAAATATCTTGTCAAATTATCTGATTGGTTGTTGATAATCAGATGACTTGACAAGAGATTAAATTGATTTTAACATTGATCGGCCTTTCGGAAACCGGGGCTAACTAGATAACTACGCATAGTTGACCAAAACATCAAAATCAATTTCGTCTACAAGTATCTTATTGACGTGGTTACCTCGGTACCTACTGTCTAAGTTACAATGGAAAATGAGAAGGTGTGAATTCAGAAAATTACCAAATCAGACAAAATCAACATTTACATTTATGATGATCACGATTTGCACCACACACTTCAGAGGCCAATGTCATGGCATGTGCGAAAATACGCATTCGAGTTTTTATGTTAGAAATGTACAATTTTATGAATGTTGTTTTTATGGGAGCGGCTAATGCAGAAGACGGATCTTAGTCATCGACGGCACCCATGGACACCGTATGCTGGTTTTTTGGGGATTAGAGATTTTAAGATTAGGAGGATTGTAAATTGCTATCGTCTTTACGAGCCAGCCCATTTGTGCATAAACATGGCTAATTATAAATAAAATGTAGCATCAATGTTGCCAAAACGCTCCTTATATTTTCGTGTATAGAAACGTGCTAACCATGCATTAGTGTTTTCGTTTGTGTCGTGGGTGCGTTTACATACCAACAGTTTAACATACACATAATGCCCAGACCCGAAACAACAATTAGTTGAACAGACATGTGGGAATTGAGCCTGCGACACGTTGCATTGCATGTCGCTTGCCCTACCACTGCGAAAACCTACAGCATTTTTATTATAAATACTGGTAAAAATCATACACAGTTATTAAAATTGTCCAAAAGGTGTGCCATTGTACCGCATTGTACATCTGTTTTTCCCCACCCACAATCATTATATTGTAATCCTATATCTCCGAAACTCCATTTTTCCATGCCCAAAGGCAGTAACATTGAACTTCAGTATTAGGTAGGTACAAGTGTTTATGGGAGACGCTGATTTCTTAAGACCAGGTGATACGTCTGCTCGCTTGCCACATGCACAAACCAGGTCAAATAATTATTTGTGTAAACTAGGTAGTGTGGGATTTTTATTTCACTAAAATGCCGGTTCTTCTTAAGATTTGCTCCGAAGACTTCATGGCGCAACGCCGGGAACGGCACATCTCCTTGTCTCTCTTAAGCTTCGGGGGCACCCAGTTTACCTTTGTGTTCCCTTACCAGATAATCTTGGCATATCTTCTAAGTGTGCGAGAGCCATGCTTCGACACAAATGGGTCGGATCGACCGGAGTGATACCACAGCCTCACAGAAAACCGGCAACAACTGCAGCGTTGTATTTCGCCATGTGAGTGAGGTTAAAGGAGGCCCAATCCATCCCCTCCCACAATTCCTCCTCAATCCCCAAATCTCCAAATCCCTAATCCCTAAAAGGTCGGCAGAGCACTCACAGTGTAATCCGTCTTCTCGTTTGTCGACACAAAAAAATCTTCATATTCAACGTGAAAACGGAACCCGTGACATATAAGAACCGACCACGCAGCTATTACAAACGTACCATTAAAAATCGATAAACACTTTTAAATTTTCTTTTGTGCTAAGAATTTCTCTGTTCTAGATAAAACTGTAATCATTAGTAGCCTATATAAACATTACCGTTTTGTATTATTACCGCCAATAAATTGACTCGTCTCGTTGTCAGTTTGTTTGTCCTGTCTGACCGTTGTGTATTTTATCCATTAATTAACATCCTAGTTCAGGTATGACCTTCAACTTTTAAAATAAACATTAAGTCATCCAAATTAAAAAAAAAGTCACAGCACTGCGAATTGTCAATTAGCATTCTTATCCGTTTTTCTTCAGTTTTCAAGATCATATTTTTAAGCACCATAAAAAACTATAAAATACAAAATTCCCTTTCAATAAACACCCTTTTGAACCATCGTCGTACTTAAAAACCTTAATTAATTCGAAATAATTAATGAAAACAAGTACTTCGTTGTACTTACATAATAATTAACAAAACACGATTCATTAAAAGTCGTTACAAGCAAAACTATAATAATTTAAATTACTAATTTTTTAATGTCAAATTTCGTTTTGACCTGTTTACGAAACGTTTTGGCGAATCACGTTTCAGGTTGGGGCATTACAAGTTTGTTCGGTAAAATGACTTCGGGACTACGTATGAATTGATTGAATATATTTTCTTTTGAATAGTACCTATGTGTGTGAGTCGACAGTTTGCCGAGAGAAGTCTCATAATTGTAGCGTCTCTCTTGCAGACCTAACGTATAACTAGTATAATAAAAATGTCGGGAATACTAAAGAGTATTACCGATTATTACAATTATGTGATACACGATTTAGCTGGTGAGTACTATTATTTATAATTTTTGCAATAATAAAGTTAATAATTGTTATTTGTATCAGTTTTCCTGTACGTGACTTTATATTTTATGTGGAATATTGCAATTCATTCGATGTTTATGTTGGGAAATACTTATAGTATTAAAATATGCTTTTTAATAATAATTGTGGTTATTCAAATTATTATTAAAAATATTAATATAATTTTATTCATAACCATATATTATAATTTTCAGAAAAATCAATAGTTACAATATTCTAAATATTCAATCACGTATAATACAGACAAAAATGTGAAATGAATTTAATGCAACAAAATATTTAATTTTATGCTAATTTTTTAGTTCAAGTATTCTATTTTTGTCTAGTCACAGTCCGAATGAATTTTACAAAGTAACTGTAAGTTAAGTACTACATAAATAAAAACAAAACGTACGCGAAGTTTTAAATCTTCTTTCTTAATCACCAAACTTATAAATTTTAGATCCAAGAACAAAGGATTGGTGGGGTGTATCCAGTCCCTTCACAGTGATAGCTATTGCGTCAGCTTACCTATACTTCTGCCTGTCTTTGGGTCCTCGGCTGATGAAGAATCGGCCAGCTTTTGAACTGAAGACTCCACTTATGCTATACAATACCTTCCAAGTCCTGTTCAGTATATTCATAGCGTACGAGGTAAGATCTTCTCTCTTTCTGTTAATTCTATTTAATTTTCATGCAGTCTTGACATTGAGTCTTCATTTTATTAACAACCATGTAGCGTTTACCGTGTCAAAAAAGTTTTGCTGTCCAATACTAGGGTTTTATCTGCTGTTGTGGCCATTTTTCCCCAATATCAAACATTTTACTCAGGTCCGGAAAACAATGTGTGTAGGAGGAGGTATTTTGCGAGACGGTCGAACCCACTGTATGATGCATTACTATCCGCACTATATGTTGATACGTATGTAGGTTATAGGGTCAAGGGTTAATCTTGTGCTGATCTGAAAGGCCCCAAAATTATGAAGAAGAAACCCTATAATAGGTAGCTTTTGGCCACTAATCTTACTAATATTATAAATGCGAAAGTTGCGATGTTTTGATGTTTGTTACTCAATTACTCCAAAACGGCTAGATGGATCTGGATGAAATTTAGGATACACTCGTATACTCTGAATAAGACATAGACTTCTTTTTATCAACATACCACGCGGGCGAAGCCATGTCTGATTTTCGATAAATAGCCAAAAATTTTATGCATTACTGAAAGTAATTAATATGCCTCATCCAAAGTGCAGACACAAATTCACACTTCCATTAAAAGACAAATACTTAGATTCAAACTAATTTTTGGTCCGTGGCTTCAGTTGGCACACTGGATATTTTTTTTATTTAAAATATTTTTATAAAAGAAACTTATGATTATTGCAATCTGAGTCAATATTCTCTTCAATCTGATCATCCAATGTAACAATTCACCAACTTCATCAGAATTGAGTCAGCATTTTTCACTAAAAAATCGTAACAAACAAACTGAAGTCGGCATTTCGTTTACGACAATTCTTTTAATGGTCAAAGTCAATATATTACATAATTCAAATAAAAATATTTGATTATGATAATTTCTTAAGTTTTGTTTGAAAAGTGTTTGTCTAGTGTGTACCTGTCTGTTTTTAATATTTAATTTTAAAGTTCAAAGGCTGAGGCCAGACTAAAGTAAAGTAGCGAGGCGAACTCATTATGTCGTGAAAAGGTTGGGTTTCCGGGTGCAAGTGCACTAACTTGGCCTGGAGCAGGAGAAGGTGCCGACTGGTTTTTAGTTGGTAAGAGTCTGATATTCCTTCTCGCTTCACCTAGGAAAGAAAGTTTTATGAATGCTACGGTGATTTTAAGAAAATTTTGTAACATTATAAGATCATGAAATACCGCTTGTTTTCATTAAAGCTGCATCGATCCGCACCTCAATATTAAATACTTTTACTATTACGGAAATGTAGGAGAATCGTAAAATTTGCGCGAAAATAATTCTATGATATTTGACACGACGCTCCGACGGGGCTAGAAATAATTCCGCGAACTTTTAATTTTTCTTGTGCGGACAGGCTTTTGTTTATCAAGCTCAAGTGTCTAAAAAGCAATCCAGCTGGTCCGATCCAAATTCGATCTCAACCAGAGAAAATATGATCCGTCTATTAAAGCCGTAGTGACTATTTCTATGGTTGATTACGCACCATATCCGCCATCTGATTTCACTCAAGAAAATTAAACATCCAAATTTTGGCCAAGTTTTCTAGATCCGTATTTCCATGGCTTCAGATCGCAATTATTTTTCTATTTGAATATTATGTCATAAAATATTAGTATTAGATATTTGTAGATCAAACAATGATCGAGTATAAACACGTTCATCACCCACGTGATTACTAACATCAAGAATTTTATCCAAGTCAGTGAGATTTTAACAAAAACACGTACGGACGTACAGAAGAATTTATTTAGCGTATCTAGTTAGGTTTCATCGATAAGGAATAAGATTTAAGATAATGATAAAATTTAATTTGTAAGATCGCACGTTTTATTTCATAAAGATAATTCAATGAAACGAATTAGTTCAGATACCTTAACATTCTTTTTATAAAACGTTGTCCCGCATTTGGTTTTTCTTCTTTTTCGTGGGTGCGTTTACAAACATACAACTTTACATACACATCACACCCAGACCCGGAACAACAATTTATGGATTGACGCGTGGAAAACACACAAAAGAGTTGTTCTGTGCGGCAATGTAACTGGCGACAAGTTGCATAGCAGCCAATTGCCCAGCCCGTGCAATCAATTTGTAGGTTATGTGTATAAGAAGCATATGTTATGTGTACATATATAATGTATAATAAGCCAAAATTAAGGAAGAAGTATGTCTGTATAAAGTTATCACGGAACATTTTAAAATGAAAATAAATACACTCGATTGACACGTGGAAAAATTCAGAACTTTGCACTTTAAACTCGATTAGGTACACAAATATGTAAAAAATGTTTATTTAACAATGTAGTTAAGGTGGCCATTATACTACAATTGTTAACATTAACATATCCATACATAACATGTAACTACATCAAAATTTTTGCAATGTACAGTCAACTGCATGTTTAAAAATAATCTTATTGAAAAGTATACTTTACCAGCCATGTCAAATATTTATATCGTATATTGATTGTTTTTTTTTTTATAAAAACTTGTACGGCGTTGTGACGTCATATTTTTTACGTCACATTGCATGTTACGTACCATAAGTATGTAAATGTCTTGAAAATTAACCAGAAATAAACAAACATTAAGTATTGCATAAAAAACCAAAATAATTTATTTTTAACAAATAAACTAAATACTTAGTCATGATGAGGTAGGGAATACATACAGACCTACGAGTACGTGACTAACTTTTTTAAGTTGCTTAGCGCAAAACTCGAAAACGGCTGAAGCGATTTCGCGATCTTTTTGTAGTGTCTATTTTCTACGATATTCTTATAAAAAAGAAAGATAGAAACAATTTACCAACGTTTATTTTTAATGCTGGTAAATACTTTCTCACATAGAACTAAGATTGTCAACTTGTGTTATGTGGATGCCAATCTAATCTAACAAAATCAATGCCACTTTTCGTTGTAATTTTATAACTCAATAATGCCCTTATCGATTTGGCTAATATTGACCTTTAAATTATTCGTGGAAGTCCAGAAAAGGTTTGTAGGCAGAAAAAAAAAAGATGAAATTTGTGAAACCGACATCCACGCGGGCGTAGCCGCGGGCGACTGCTAGTTTTAGACATAAATATGTATGTTACAACGATTTACGAAACGTAATCCATCCAATCCTCCCATTTTCAAACCCCAAATTAGCAAACTTCAAACATCAAAGCTCTCAGAAGGCAAGCAAGAACCTTGTAACTTTTGTATTCTGAAAACAATTGGTTTTTTATCGAGATAGTAAACGATCCGTATGTATCTTTGAGTTTTTTGACCATCTAATTGAGGTCAATAGATGACGACACATTTTAATTAAGAATGGTTTGGGTCTTAATATACAAAAATTAAACGGCGTTTGTTTATAAATATGTATACACTATCCTTCTGGCTCCCTATGATGTTAATTGTTTTATTATCCTTTCCACAACATTATTTATTTCGCCTTACGAGCAGACATTTTACCTGATGATAAGTAATTATTGCCTTCTTTGGACACTTGGAATACGTATGCATTTATAAGTGCGTTTTATGTGCTATTAGGCATTTAAGGAATTTAGGGATTGAGGTAGAGTGGGGTAGAGGAGGATTTGGCCTCCGTTGTAACACAACGTTATTGTTGTTTCACGCCGGTTTTCTTCAGCCGGGGTTGCGGGGTAAGCGCAATGAGGCACCGCGACCTCAGCCCAGAGCAGGAGAAGGAACAGGGGGGTTTTTAGTCAGTTAGAGTCTGACACATGGGCGGGAGAAGTCATTTGATGATTTTCCCCTCACAAAAAAAAAACCGGTTTTCTGTGAGGCTGCAGTATCCCTCCGGTCAAACCGCGCAGAGGCATGGTTACCCACATCAGTTCATGTCTTATCAATATGACATCTTCTTCTTGTTTTTCATTTCATTTACCAAACATAATTCTGTTTTCAGGGAGGTGTCTACATATTATCAAGAGAATTCAACTTAGCATGTGAACCTGTTGACTACTCAAATAACCCTCGAGCACTCAGGGTAAGTTATTGACCTTATAATATTTACTTTATTTTCTTTAAAAATATATGTGACAAAAATTATGACACTGACGAGACAGCCAAAAATTGTAAGTAAAAGTGGTAGTAGTTGATGTTACTTTTTTTTTGTAATAAGAACGTATTTGCATTAATATATTTTGCAACTATCGTTAGACATACTAAATTTATTGACAATAAAGGTTTTCCCATGTGAATTAATCAAGAAAAGCATTAATATTTCAAGTCATAGTGGGATACTTATTACCACTTTCGCAACAACATCACATGGTGCATCCTGCACGATGCTTTGACACCTTGATTAACATATTTACCTAAAAATAGGTAATAATTAAAACTATATGTAGTTTGATTTCCATACATTTCGTAAAACAATAGTTATTAAAACAAAAAATTGCACGAAATGCAGTAATTCTATTATAAGGTTATAATGCGAAAACTGGTTAGCGTGGATGTATGTTTGTTGATCTTTGATAATCTGATCTAATGAGCAAAGGCCTTTTCTCATAGGGAGTAGGTTTGATCATTAATCACCACGCTTGCTCAAGGCAGATATTGGCAATATATAATATTACAAATTTTAAGTTAAATTAAAACATAGCAGCATTGAAACTCACCCATGTAAGAGTTGCTAGCGCTTTTACCTCCAGACCACAATCACATTTTACCGTGTAACTGACCAATATACCACACCTTACCCCTAAACTTTGTTTTTTGTCTATCTGTCATGATCTGTAACAGCTAAGCAACCAGCAAGAAACTGAGCATAAATAAAAAAAAATGGCTCCAGACGAGACCGACATACAATAGGACGGTTTTCTTATTTTAGTCTTTTCAATTCCAGGTGGCTGCAGCAACATGGTTCTACTTCTTCGCAAAGTTCACGGAGCTTCTAGACACAGTATTCTTTATCTTAAGAAAGAAGTACGATCAGGTCACCTTCCTCCATGTGTACCATCACACTTTGATGTCCTTGGTCGTCTGGATTGCTGTTAAATATTATCCAGGTATGTTTAGCCTTCTTCTATAGTAATAAATTAAGCAACCCAAAACTGAAAATTTTTAGCTCCTAAAGCAAGCAAGTCTCTTTTTTTATTTGAATTTTGAACGATCAATATTAACTGCTTTCCTCTCCGATGACACAAATATGCCTCATGGTTATTGTGTCTACTTTCTGGAAAATGACAGTGTTGACCATTCAGTCGAAACACAACATAACTGCTACTTCACTCCGGCAAATTCTTACTCTATAATATCAATAAATTTTTTTTTTATTATTAAATCTTATGTATAACTGTCTACGGGCGCGCAGTTTAACTCGCCGCTCAGTTCTTTTTAGTCGTAGGGTGATGTTTTATAGCACTTAGTAACAGCTACAAAGCTATCGTGAAACAATTTTGAAAACCCAACCAGCGGTTCCAAAGATTACTCTACATACAATCTTACAGATTACAAATTATACGTCTTTATAATATATTAGTATGTATTATAATATTGCTTACAACCGTATGATCTAGTTCGAGTAGGCAACAATGTCCAAGATCAATTAGAAATATTTCCATTATGACCCTATTATTTATTTATTTCTCTTATCTTTTCCAGGTGGTCACACTACGTTGATGGGTTTCCTGAACTCCATTGTCCACGTTGTCATGTACACTTACTACCTGATCTCTGGCCTTGGACCTCAGTACCAGAAGTACGTCTGGTGGAAGAAGCATGTCACAAAAATGCAACTGGTGAGTTTTATATAGCATTTGTAACTTGTTCTATTCAGACTATGGAATTTGTATTGAGGTATAATATTACCTATTAGTATTACTCCTCAGTAAGTTATTTTCGAAAAGTTTTGTATGCCTATCTATCTATTATACTTAATGCATACCGACCTATGCATAACAGATCAGGTTAAGGTACCTGTTCCAAGTATGTTTCAGGAAACATTTATCACTCAGGAACAGCTAATAGTTAAATTCCACACACATTTTGCTTGATACTTAAAATATTCCTTTAAGTATTAATCATTTTATGCTAACATCTGTATTATTTTCCCTTTCAGACACAATTCACCATAGTCTTCATCCACAACGTCTCAGTATTCTTCTACGAATGTAACTTCCCAAAATTCCTGAACCTTATGTGTATTGGTAATTGTGTAGCTTTCCTCTACATGTTCGGAAAGTTTTACATCGATAGATACAGAAGGAATGTTAGGAACAAATCATTGTTAGAGAGCAGAAGAGCTACTCCGATGACCAAGAGTGAGATGAACAATTACGGAATACAAAGAAAAGTCGCCGAGAAGTCACGGTAGTAAAAAGCTACTTAAGTTAATAACAATAAGGTTGAAATTGTACATTACAATATTTATTACGAATTAATTAAATAATAAAAGACAATAAATGTAAGTGATATATTTATTAATATTAAGAATATTTATGTAATTTTAGTATTTAAAATAAAAATGATGATATTGTTTATTGATTTTATACCTACGGAAAATGTATTTTTGAGATGAAATTTTCTACGTGACTAAAAAACGGCAGGTACTTAAAAACCAAAGAAGAGAAAATAAAAGGATATCGATATCTTAAAAGTTTTTTTTTAAAAGATAAACCCTATTCCTATCGGTGTTCAATAGATTTTGTACTATTAAAAAGATTATTTTTTAATGAGATGAACTGTCATTGTTGGCAATTTTTTTATAAAGAAATTAAATACAGTAACAGAAATTTTAGTAGGATTGTTTGTCTTTGATGATGAAAACTACCCAGGAAAACATTTTAAAACAGGATTATAATAGGAGAAGACGTATTGGAAATAGACCGCCTCCCTATCCTACTAATTTTATAAAAATCTAATGGTTTGTGAGAATGAAATGATGTGTTTGTTATTCTTTCACCCAAAACCGCTGGATTGGTTGGTTCAAATTTGGAATGTAGATATGTACGATACCCTTGATTAACACAGGCTTTTTTATTAACATACTATGCGGGCAAAATCGAATGATAAAAGATGAGAAAGAGGCGTTCTATTGTATCGGTGTAGTCGAATTTTTCAGTTTTGTATATTTCAGAAAAAATGTTTGTTAGAAATCTGACAAACGTAAAATTAATGAAGATGCTTAACGTTTCATTAACAAAACTTGCCTAATTAAAATATCGAAAGCACAATTTATAGAAAAGAAGATCAAAAGTGGAATAGTAAAATTTTAATGAGAAGTTTTAGTATCATCTATGTGGACAGGTAGTTACTGTAAGAGTCGCAGGAAAATGTTGTATATTGATGGATGAGCGATCTCGCGCCGAAGTTCATAATTATTATTAAGTTAGTATACGAGGAAACATAAAACTCAAATTCAATAAAATGGTAAAAAATAAATTGCATTAAAAAAAACACATACGTTTTTTTTACTTGCAATAAACTAGTGCTTGACTGCGATCCCACCTGATGGTAAGCAGTGATGCAATCGTTGATGGTAAGGCGCACTAGTTTATTAAGAGCCTATTCACTCTAGTTTTGAAGACAGCTTAATTATATTTGGACGGAAAACCGCAGCAAAAAACCGAAAAACTTTTCCAATCCGGACCTTTTTCGTTTAAGTACTTTGAAAAACACTGTTCTGTCTTAATTCCTTTTAACAGAGTAAATTTATAGTCTTTTTGTTATGAGATAGTTTCACCTGAACGTAAACCATCAGTGCCGCCCATGGTCCAACGCCAAGACTACTGGAGTGAAAAGTGCGTTGCTGGCCTATAGAGCAGTAGGGCAGTAAGATTTGGACTCCCGGTATACACAGCTACACAGTGAAGCACTACTCAAGTTTTATTTTGCACATATTTTATTTTAAAACTTTATGTTCATTATTTAAAAAATGCGGACTCAATAAGCATATTTTTCGTGATGCCGCGATATCACTCCGGTTAAGTTGGCACATTCGTGCCTAAGCATAGTTCAACTACATATAAAAGTAATCACATTATCAGCCTATAAGTGCTCACGGCTGAGCAAAAGCCTCTTCTCACATGGAGATGATTTGAGCAATAATCACCGCGGTTGCTCAAGATGGATTGGCGATTTCAAACTTATAATAAGAAATTACAAGTTTGTTTTAAAGGTTTACTCGCGATGTTTTCCTTCACCGCATGTCAGTGGGGTCTAAATAATCATAGAAAGTACATTTAACTCGGTAGAAGTCACATCGGAACTTGTCGAGAAGCGGGCGCCTTAAGCTCCAGGCAAACATGACACCATTCACAATGATGATCATTTATTTGTCATAACATGCGTTTACACACAGATTTAAGCATGCAAGATCTTAACAAAAATAATGTACTATATAATACATAAGTAATACATATTCCATATTGACCATTTTTATAATCGATATTGATTATATCATGCATATTAAATAGTTGTAAGTACCTTAGTTACTACACCGATTACAAGCAGAAATTTTGCAAGTCATTTTCATATTTTACAAATATGCTACCAATATTTATTAATAATTTACCTATTGGTAGTGTGACTAGTTTACTTTCTTAGTATCTCTTTATTTATTGTAAATTGTGCAAAGAACAGAATAAAGTTTCTAAGACTTTTATCATATGACATCAAAATTAATTTCTATTTTCGCCTATTACGAAAATTATAAATTATAAGCCGACTAGCTACTCTCATTCGGTTTCAGCCGCTGCTCGATTTGATCGTAGCGTGATGTTTTATAGTCTAGCATTCAGGAACATTGTAGCTATAGATTCTATCAGTGAAAGAATTTTGCCAATCCGACCAGCGGTTCCAAATACTACCCCTTACATGCAAACTTACAAATTTTACTTCGTTATAATATTTTAATATAGAGATATTAAATTATTTTAGAAAATACGCGGAAAATTTAATTGGACTCGGCAAAAATCACATTCTTTCTTCACAACATACAAATGTACGACAACGACTACACAGTGGCTGGACAACTGTCTACCGTGCAACGTGTCGCAGGTTCGATTCCCGCACGGAACAACTCGGAACAACAATTTGTGTGATACACAAGTTTTTGTTCCGAGTCTGAGTGGGATGTGAAATTGTATGTTTTTATACGACACAGGAGAAAATCCTAGTGCAGGCAAAAGCTTTATAAAAAAAAAAAACATCAAATGTCTTTATCTACCTAGGGAATGGCGAGACCAATTTTCAGGCTTTTATTGCGCTTAACAAAATGGCTCATTGGTGCGCGCGGAACGGCTAATGGTCAAGAGGTTTTATAAACTAAAATTTCCAATAATTTATTCCAATAAATCTTAATTGATTGCATCGAAGAATATTATTCAACTTTGATCAAAGAATTTACTGTCACTTAGGTATCGGCAAAAAACTTGCAATTGTCGTAGTAGCAAAAAAAAAAAAAACAAAAAAAACACGTGTTCAAATTCTATGAAATCTATGTAAATGAATAATAATAATTGGTGAACATCCCGAATTTATTGGGCAAGTTTTTCTTTTCTAATTTTTATCCTAACTTTTTTAACAATTTATTTTGTTCAGGTATTTATGTATTTCTCAAAAACATGGTCGGAATTCAATGCACTTTTCACAGTTATTTTGTTAAAAGGTCACATTTGTAAAACAAAGGTCTAGATTACTGTTTTCACGGCGACAGAAGTGAATGCCCGGCCGTTACAATATGTTAGATAGGTAGCTACTTACGACAATAATTTATACGGAAATGTTAATAGTTGCTATTACGTATATAAAGAATTCGATTTAAAATGTATTTTTTTTCAATCATATGTATTTATTATGTGAGTTGGCAGTTTCAGTAGGACGTAGTGTAGAAGTGAGTCGACTGCTAACGAACGGCGTTTTTGCATTTTTCTCAAAATGGCGGGGCTCATAAATAGTGTCGTGGAAAAATATAACTATGTTATACACGACTTGGCTGGTATGTTATTCATATTTTCGTTTTCTAATAATAATTTTAAACACCATTAAAATAAACATTCATTCTTTTTTATTTTTTTTTAATTCAGTAATTTTTTCAAAATACAGAAATTTAAATAAGCAATAACAAAGTATTGCCCTACTATTTGTACTATTTTCTGATAATCTAATATTTAAAAAAAAAATACTATTAAGTTTTTGAAAAAATCTCTCATCAAACCATTCCATTATGCAATTTAATGAATCATATGTTTTTACTGCCCTCAACTTAAAATCATTGTTCATTTTCCATTTTCAATCCTAAATTAGAAAATTGTTTTTTTTTCAGACCCTAGAACAGCAGACTGGTGGGGTGTTTCGAACCCCCTCGTGGTGCTGTCAATTGCAGCGGCTTACCTATACTTCTGTCTGTCTCTGGGTCCTCGGCTGATGAAGAACAGGCCAGGATTCGAGTTGAGGATCCCGATTATGCTCTATAACATCTCTCAAGTGCTGTTTAGTTTATTCTTGAGTTATGAGGTAAGAAACACACCAAGAAATTTGTTTATATTTTTATTGAACTTTGATTCACATTATGTTTCCTGTGTCGTGGGTGCGTTTACAACCATACAATTTCACATACACATCATACCCAGACCGGGAACAACAATTTGTGGGTCACACAAAGAGTTGTTCCATGCGAGAATCGAACCCGCGACACGTTGCGCGGCAGCCAATTGCTCAGGCACCGCGCCAACCGTGTAGTCAATATAACCTATACTATAGTTATTCTTGTATTCTGATCGTTTGCGTGTTGTTAATCCCCTGTTTTACAATAAGTATATTTTATATTCATTCTTAATGAAAAATTATGCCCATATACATATAGGTATCTACATATCACCACTGGTGAGAAGAGGCCTTTGCTTAGCAGGCGTAATGTTAATGATTCATTTGTAATTCTATTACCTCGAAAACATATTTTTTTGTACAGAAAATGCAATTAATTACAAAGTAAATAAGTCAAATCCTAATAGAGACCCAGATATTTAAATGTAGTTTTTTTTGTCTATGCTTGGTAGGCAAATTAGGTCAAATCAAACGCTTACGTAATGGAAAATTCTACCTTTTGTCCCAAAAACGTGGATTTTATGCTCAGAAATGAAATAATCGTTGTATTCACGAGTACAACAATGAACCTGACCTTAGATGGTACTTATTTAAATTAACCACGATTTAATTAAAATAACAAAGAAAAACAATTTGCTACAAAAACACAACAGGTGATATTGATATCTACATATATATTTATTACTAAATAAATATATATGTATACTTGTTCTACATTTAATATTATATGTAATAATATATATTATATGTAATGTTGTCCACCAAAAATAATATGCAAAAATCCGTATGTATCAATATTGGGATTATAATAATTCCATAATTATCATGCACACCCATGGCCATATATATCATTTTCTACTGTATATTGTACAATAGTCCTGCATCAACTAGTGATTGTCCTTGGGTGCACTTTCATAGTGCATACAGGGATAATTGAAGACTGGTATAGGATACCAGTCTTCAACTAATATTTGTAATAATAAGTTGTTCAAAAGGCCTCTACGAGTTGGCCTCGGCCTCATAAACCTTTCAAAAGTCCAGAACCCTGTGATCCCGTTAATGGAAGCGAACACACATTAATTCAATAAAAAAAGTATACCAATAAGCTGTGATGAAAAACATAAGATAATATTAAAATACCAATGATCTTTGTTGCCAAAATTAAAATGTTTATACAGTATATTTTAGTGTACAGGAAATATTTTTTTTATTTGTCTGTTTGCACACGTTAATCTTTGGAATCACTGAGCACATTTGGGTGAAACATCTGCACCATATTAGGATTTTCTCCTGTGTGGGTGCGGTAACAAACATCCAATTTCACATACACATGACACCCAGAACCGGTACGACAATTTGTAAATCACACAAAGAGTTGTTCCGTGCGGGAAGCGAACCCGCGACACGTTGCACGGCAGCCAGTTGCCAACAAAATATTTTGTTTAAAGTTACTATTCTACCAGCTAGTTACAAAATAACTTTTGGAAGATCTAAGGAAGACTAGGTTTAAAAAGAAAACCTAGTTATTAAACTTTCTTATGTGTGATTCTTTTTATAAAAAAATAAAACTTATATTCTCTGATTTATTCATTATAAGTCAATATACATAGTCGTTTATAAAAGTTTACACCACCACTTATAATAATTATTTCGTATTTCTTATAAAATAACGTCATTATTTTTTTATTATTTCAAGTCATTCTGCTTGCAATTGCATAATATATTAGTTTTCATAGAATGATGCATTTTTATGATGTTTTTATAAAAATATTAAATGTAAATTATTTAAACATTGTATTATAGCTACATATTTAAATTTTTCAGGGCTGTGTCTACATATTGAGTAGGGAATATAACCTAGCATGTGAACCAGTTGACTACTCCAATAATCCCAGAGCTTTAAGGGTGAGTTTTTGCACGTACAATTTTTTTAAAATATTATTATATAAAGTAATGAATAAATTGTTCAAATCCATATTAATAGAAATTCGAGTTACTTTGGCTGTCCCTGACTTAAAACAAATATATAAAAAAAGTTAGTCGCGAATAATATTGATGACTGCATAACTCAAAAACGTTTAGATCGATTCTATCAATTTTTTTTATCGTGTTTGTTATTTTCAATACAAACTTTTTAAACAATTAATCAATTATAAAGAAGTAACGAATGAATTTAAGATGCTTATAAGTAGGCGTGCTACATCGTAGGGCGTATCATAGCTTACCACCAGGCGTGATAGCGGCCAAATGCCAGCACAGCATAGTATAAAAATATAAAGATTGTCATAGCCAACTCATTCATAGACAACACAATAAGTGTTTATACTTTTTTAAGGGTTTTTTTGATCAGGTAGCAATTTCAGGTAGCAGCAGCAACATGGTTTTACTTCTTTGCGAAGATTACAGAGCTTCTTGATACAATATTCTTCGTGTTAAGAAAGAAATACAATCAAGTTTCCTTCCTCCACGTTTACCATCATACATTGATGTGTCTTGTCATATGGGTTGGAGCAAAATATTTCCCAGGTTCGTATTCAAAATCGTTTATTACATAACTTTCTTTTTTTATAAAAATCATATTATGGCTGACCATATAGATTTACTTTCTCTTTTTTTCATGGTATAAGTCGGCAAACGAGCAGACGGATTACCTGATGGTAAGCAATCGGCGCCGCCCATGACCCGCAACACCAAAGGAGTTCCGAGTGGGTTGCCGGCCTTTTGGGGATGGAGGTTGCGGATATAAGGATTGGGAAGGGATAGGGGAAGAGGAGGGATTGGGCCTCCGGTAACCTCACTCACACGGCGAAACACAATGCTGTGAGTTGTTTCACGCCGGTATTCTTTGAGGCCGTGGTATCACTCCGGTCGAGCCGACCCATTCGTGCCGAACCTTGGCTCTCCCACACTTTTATATTCTCATTTTTACACAAATCATACAGCTGCATTTTAAACTTTTGTCGGTTCGGACCAGTAGCTAAACCATGGTAACCAAGTTTGTATTCAATTATGTATATATTTTTTTCATTCCTACACTCCCACCCAGAGTGGAATAAATCATTAAGTGATTAGTCGTTAATTAGATTAGACGTAAAAATCATCAAAATTTGATGACTATCACGACTTAAACACATGAAAAACTAAATAAGCTCGTCAAACGCACAGAAAACAGGCGTGAAACAAACAAAGCGTTGTGTTTTGCCGTGTGAGTGAGGTTACCCGAGGCTCAATCCCTAATAATCTTCCAAACTCTTTACCCAAAAAGGTCGGCAACGCATTCTTAAGACCTCTGTTGTTGTGGGCGATGGGTGGCGCTGATTGCTTATCATCGAGTGATCCGTCTGCTCGGTTGCCGTCCTGTTAAATAGTAAATAAAAATAAGTAATAAGCTACTATAAATGTGCATTAATATACTTCGAATGTGGTGGTGGCCCGAAGGTTAAGGCGCCCGCTTCTCATGCATGAGGGTTCGAAACCTGGCAAGCACCAATGTGACTTTTTCCTAGTTATATGTACTTTGTATAATTATTTAGACACCACTGACATACGGTGACGGTAAACATCGTGAGGAAACCTGGACTTATAATTTCTAATTATGAGTTTGAAATCACCAACCCGCTTTGAGCAAGCGTGGTGATTAATGCTCTAACCTTCTCCGTGTAAGAAGAGGCCTTTGCTCAGCAGTGGGCACTTATAGGCTGATTATGAATATACTTTGCAGGAGGTCACATAGTTCTAATGGGCACCTTGAACTCCATTGTCCACGTCATCATGTACACTTACTACCTGATCTCAAGCTTCGGACCTCAGTATCAGAAGTACGTCTGGTGGAAGAAGCATGTCACCAAAATTCAGCTGGTGAGTTGTTGAAGAATGTTTATGTGAACTTGAATGTTTTTAGAAGGGGAACACAGGGCAATATCTTAGTGTGGAGAAAATGAATAAAATTCTTTGCTGTTTGCTTAATATGGAATATTATAATCTACATTTAAAACAATTGGGTTCAAAATCGTCTAATTAATACCTATATAGGTAATCGAATAACGATAGATATCGTCAATGATCGCTACCAAACAGTAGGTAGACATTAAAAATTCAAAGTTTGAAACTCAAAATAGGCAATTTGAAATTTAAACATTGTGTCGCATGTAATAGGGTTATTTATTATGTGTAATATCTTTTAATTTATTCGTTATTTGATATTACTTACAATCTGTAAGTGTAGACATTTTATAATTTTTTTTTACTTCAATAAACTAGTACTTGACTGCGATCCCACCTGATGATAAGCAGTGATGCAATCGTTGATGGTAAGGCGCACTAGTTTATTAAGAGCCTATTCACTCTAGCCTTGAAAACTTTTATAAATGACTAGCTGGGTCGCCTGATTTTACTCGCGTAGTTTATATTTTTATAGCCTATATTCACTGGAGAACGTATAGCTTCCCAACGGTGAAAGGTTTTTTTTACTCGGTCATATAACCGGAGTCTTTTCAACTTAAACAGACAAAAAAACTAATATTTCCTGTTTATAATATTAGTATAGATAAAGATTTTGGATCACTTATTAAATAAACTTTAATGGCAAAATGGAGGGAATGGGTGAATTGGGTAGTTTCCTAGGTCAAAATTAAATTAATTCGACGTTTCAATAAAATAAAATATTTAAAAATAACTATACTTTTATTCATCGATCGATCGGTACACTAAGTTTTAGATTTTTTTTAGCTAATTATTAAGAAATAAGTAAACTATTTGACGCAAAAATGTTATGACGTCATAGCTCAGTTTTTCATACAAATTTTATAAAAAGTTTCGTTTTTGACGTTTGGATAAAAGTATTGAATTTGACTAGTTGGAAACTACCGTGTTGTCAAAAAACTCGTCAAAAATCGCAACCAAACAGTCAAACTAAAATAAAATCATTTTATGTACTTACATACATTTATTTATATTCACAAAAACAATTATACGTTTTTCTTTTTCAGATCCAGTTCTGTATTGTCTTTACACACAACATTGCAGTTTTCTTTTACGAATGCAATTATCCGAAGGCACTTAACGGCCTATGTGCATTGAATTCCCTTATCTTCATATATTTGTTCGGAAAATTCTATATACAAAGTTATAAAAAGGAAAATGCGAAAAACCGAGCCAAATTGGAAAACAAGAAAAGTGCACCGGTATCAAGCGATTTTGGCAGAAAAAGAAAATTAGTGGAAAAATCACGATAACTCACATTACATTGACATGATTGAAGTAGTGCTTATCCAAATTGTCTTTCCATCAATCATTTTCTACCTTATTGTTTTGTTATTAAGTAGAAAATCCACTAAAGAATTTTGATAGCTTGCTATATAATCTGCTATACGTAATTATGTTTTATAAGATTTGACTTTAAGTATTGCCTATATTATCGTTAACAAAATGAGACGTAATTGATTCTCTTAAAAGATCGAAAACATATGTATACTATTTAAATACATACTAACTCTACTCTCAAGTGTATATACCTATGTATATATTTATGAAAATTAACCAAAGAAAAGTGTTCTCCTTCAGCTTTTAAAATTATAATATAGAATGTAAAATAAAAATACATTTATTATCTTCGTTGTAGTCTCTTATTTAATAATGTAATTTTGTTTTAATTATTAAAAAAAAAATACCTTATTATAATTCCCAACAAAGAGGACACTTTTGAAAGTTTTTCGTTGCTATAAAATTATGTATAGCTATTTTTTTATGGAATAGGAGGCAAACGAGCAGACGGGTAGTAAGTGATCGGCGCCGCCCATGAACACCCGCAGCACCAGAGGAGTCACAGATGCGTTGCCGAAAAGCTAAGAGTTTTATTAAGATTTATTGACAGTGAAAGATAATATTTTAACAACTTTTGACATGGCATAACACTTGTTCGAAATCAAATCTCCCGCCTTATGAAGCTTGGTGTCGTTTAGTTTTAAATCGCTTGAGTTTGTGACACAGGAAAAAGGATACAAGTACCCACATCTCCTGTTTAATCTCGCGAGTGTTTAAAACGAAAATAGTACAACATTATAGCGAACATTCAAGAAATCCCTACTGCCACTTCAGTTTGCTAAACCCTTGGGTCATGTCAGAACCTTAGTCAGTTAAAAGTACCCTGTTCTTTCTCCTCCTCCAAGCCGGACAAAGCGTTTACAATTCTGGCTGGAGTACAGAATGCCTACCATCAAACCTTATTTTTTATGAAAATGCCACAGCATAACCTATAAGCATAATGCGTGTACTCAAATCTGGCATCAAACAAACTTAGTGATAAAAGTATTCGAAAGAATAATCGTGCAACTGCTAAGCTTGGCAGAAAGTACATATCAGTTATTTTTATCTTAGTAAGCAAATAAGTCACATATTTCATTGCAAACAGTCCACGTGACCGACTGTTTGTTTACATTTGTACGTGTTTTGTAGAATTCATTCATATAATTTATCTATAACATAATATAAAATCACACCATTTTTTGATGAGTGATTGAAAGTCATCAATGATTTTTCTTTCCATGGGTGGGGTTAGAGAGAGTGTCAGACTCTTAATGACTAAAAACCACTCTGTGTATTATATATTGAGTATTGAGTATCCACGTAGAGCAAGTGCGGTGATTATTTCTCCTACCTTCTTTACATGAGACGCCTTAGCAGCAGTAGCAGGGCGGTGGGCTATAAATACGACATTCTATTATAAATATATACTAATACGTTTTCCCCAGCAGATTTGTTTTGTAATATCGTTACTCATTAATATTATCCAGCACTATGGATTTCGAAATATAAAAAAAACCCAATAACACCTTTCTCGACCCGGAGATCAAATCACCTTAACCTTACTACAGCTTTCGGTCTTGAACTGTTATGACTCATTTTAGCACGATTAGGAAAGATCCCCATGACGCACCCATTTGCTTGGTTTTCATCCAAAAAGTAACGTCGTTTCGTGAATTACAAATGTTAATATTAATACGAATCTACACATTTAGACAGATGTCCTAGAAAATCCAAGGTTAAGGTAACATTGATGATTATTTTTTGTATTCAGAAATTGTGGTGTCACATGAAAATGGAAAAACCGTCAAACCAGCAGGCGGATTACCTGATGGTAAGCAATCGGCGTCGCCCAAGGACACCCTCAATACTAGAGTAGTTGCAAGTGCGTTGCCTATTCAAATCAAACAGACGAATAAAAAGATCTTTCCTCTTTATAAAATTAGTATAGTTAGTACCGATAGCCTTCCTGGATATTAAGTAAATATTCAATACAAAAAGTATTGTTCAATTCGAACATATTCGCACAAACTTTAAAAACAAACAAACTCTTCAGCTACATACATAATATTATTATCGAAAAATGAAAACACTTTTTATTTTTTTTACTTTTCACCCGTAACTCCGGCTAATCATCGGCCCTGTAGGGCCCTACACCTGTGGTTGTCTATTAGCTCTTTGAGGCGCGCTCGGAATGCTACGCGCCGCACAGTCGGGTCAGGTTCTGGTCGAGCAGCCAGCTACACTTACCTGTCGACCACAGACTCACGCTTACTGTGGTCGGAGATACTAGACTACAAGAATCGGCAGCTGCAGCGTAAGGATGATAGTTCTCTGACACGCTCCGTCTTTTTCTTTGCAAGCATCACTGCTTCACAGAAAGAAGAGACGGCTTCCCAGTTCCACGCCCTCTTAGACTAAAACCGGACGCGAGAAGACTTAAGTTTTTATTATGTTCCTGACATAACATGTAGTAAAGCGAAAAAGGTTACTGAACGAAAGAACAATGCCTTATTCACCCAATTTTTATGTTTAATTTTTTTTTTTGATTTTGTTTTTATTGCGCTTCAGGTCAAAGTTGTGTATAAAAGGAAATGTAAAAAATCAGGAAACGTATTGTGATTAAAATAAATTAAATTATGTATGTTATGTAATACTTACTCTTTAACTTAATTTATAAATTTATCAAAAGTAAATAAAACAGGAAATGTTTAATAAAGTAGCTACGATTCGTCATTTGCGCTTCGTCAGTTTTTGGAGCCGGTGTTGGCATCAACATTGATTGTCATGGAAGCTTTGGGTTTAAAAAGTTCATAATTAAAAAAATGACTCCTCTGTCTGATTTATTTTCCTTTCTCAACAAAGAATGATCATTGCAGAATATTCTATATGGACCACTCTCTTTCCGATGAAATGAAAATGGAAGGTAAATGCGGTGAATAAATGAAGCTTCCGACCGCAGTTTCGCCCACGAGGTAGGTTAATAAAAAGCAGCCTACGTGTGAATCACATACGAGTATCTACCTACATACAAAATTTTGACCAAATTGGTCCAGCCGTTTTGCGAGAAAGAGTAACAAACATACATCCATACATACTTACTCACAAACTTTCATAGTAAATATTAGTAGGATAGGATAATAATCAATAAAGTCGGCTGTGAGGCAAAAAAAAACAGCATTATATTTTTTTATTTATACACAAAAATTTTACATTATTATCTTAACAATAAAAATCGCCAAAACTGTAAAAAAGTTTGTTGGCGATAGTGGCGCTCTTATGTTTTACAATAATTTTATTTATGACTACTACTTATTATTAATTAGGGAGGTACATAAAATATATCTTTAATTTTTTTTTTTATATCTAAAACACTAATATTTAATTTTAATACTTATGTGTTAGGCATATTTAAAAATTCCTTTAAACATAATGTGCTTAGGGTATCACTGTTATTTCTTATGAACGCTATTTTATTATAAATTATTGGGGTCAAATACTGCCTAGTTCCTCTTCCATAGTAATTTTTAACCTTTGGTATTACAAATTTACCCTGTACAGCTCTTCTGGTATGATAACTATGTGTTACAGATTCTTTGTATTTACTTGTATTTTACTGTTCCATAGCTATAAGGTCTTCTACTTTGGTATGCACTGGTAATATTTTACAAATGTTACAATTACCTATGTAAATGGTATGATGTTACAATCTCTCATAGTTCGGTTTACATTTCAATCTAACTTTTTTGCTTACAAGTACATATATTGTAAGTGTATATATTGCATAGTAGACCACCGGAGTAATTAAACAGATGACAATCAAATCCAATAATATTGTCCCGCAATTTGCACGTGCATTGTCTTCATGACTTTATTGTTAAAAACTTCTGACTGTAGACAAACAAAATTATACTAACCACAGTGTTTTATAGAAATGATGATGATAATAATTAAAGTATAATTCTTTTGATTGCTATGACTAGTTTAAATGTATTTTTTTATTTAGATACATTGTATAGAAACAACAAATGAAACTACATGACTTATTATAGTTAGCTGCAATCTAAGCTAACCTAATTCATAAAGATTTGGCTTGTCTGCGGCTTTGGTGTCAACAAAGACCTCATATCTCGATAAAATATTGTGAAAGCCATAGAGCAACTACAACCTCTCACAGTAGAAGGAACTGGGAGGTCTCCAGTTAGTAAGAGTCTGACACTCTTTCTCACCTTTCCCTGGAAGAGAGAGAAAGAAGTCATTTCATGATTTTCCCAATATTATACAACCTCCCAAATCTCGGTCATTTGCATTTATAAGTTGCTAGCTAGGGGCTTTAACTTAGAGGCTATTGCAAGGATTTGTTCGGTTAAATAGTGAACAGCTTTAATAAGTTTTACTACCAATTTTCATTAAATAGGCTAGCTAACGGGCTATCCTGCTACTCGTTTTTTACTAATGACTTCTCTTTCTCTTGCTGGGACGATGATGAATGTCAGACTTTTACAAACTAAAAACTGATCCGTTCTTTAAAGCGGTAAATTATTGCGCTTGACCCGCAATCCCTACTGAACATCAGCCCAATTGGGCTCCATATGTATTGGTCTTTTGGCTCTTAGAAGCGCGCGCAAAAGCTATTGTCGGTCTAATCTGGTGGGGCGTCGTGCCTCGCAGATCAATGCGTACGGTGGCCGAACATCGTTGTATGTTTCCTACATAATCTCCCAATCTATCAATTTGATGTTGATGAAAATCCACTCGCACTTCAACTTACGGATTGAGTGAGAAATTCAGTCACTTTAAAAATGGCCAATTTTGGATACCACGACTTCACAGAAAACTGACGTGAAATGGACGAGGTTGCCGGAGGCCCAATCCTTCCCCTCTCCCGATTCCTGCCTTCTTCTTCAAATCCTCCAACCCCGAAATGTCAGCAACGCACTCCTAAGTCCTCCATTGTTGTGGGCGACGCTGATTGCTTACAATTTCGTAATCCGTCCACTCGTTTTCCGTTCTATGACATAAAAAACCACTATTCATTTTTGTAAACTTATGAACTGGCAGTGACCCCCAGTGAAGTACATAAACTACTTGCATAATAAAAATCTGTCCCACCAATCCAACGAGAATTAACTAATAGCAATATAATTGACTTTTAACATAACAAGTACAATGTTCCTTTTTGTTATTAATGGTTTTGGATAATAATTTCTAAATGACGCCCATTACTATAATATATTTTTGCATGATGATGATACTTTTTACTTGTCCTTATTTACTATTATAACGTAATAATAACACTTAGGTATTATAAAAAATATAATGTGGAAATGATAATAAAGTGTTAGATATGAATCTATAATTGGATTTTTTAACATTTATTTAGTGAAATACAATGAAATAAGATGTACCTACGTTTTTCATTAGCCGCTTTACTTTTTAACTGCAGGTGATGAAAATTAGCCTCCCTACTTTCCTTTTTGTATTCAATTAGCTTGAGCGAAATAAATATTTAGCAAAATTAAGACTATGTCGAAATTTGTCATCGAAATTCAGAATGTATTTTTTTTAATTTCATCAATACTAGAGTTGTTTTAATAGTTGAAAGTTTGTTGGTTCTCCAACCAGATTTAACCAGGTGTTGTAGCCATAACGATTTCGCAAAAATATTGCCCTAAACGGGACATTATTACGGATTACAATTAAAAATAAAGTTACTATGCAATTTCCTATAAATAAGTCAATTTAAAAAAGGTTGATATAAAATAGAAGTTGTCTATTGTCAATCAACTAGACGTGGTTGCTTTTTAATTTTCAAAATATTCAATGTCATTTTGACGTAAAAGGATTCTTGCGAATATTTTTCATTGATAATAATTTAATAATCATCTTTGTTCAATTCAAAAACGATATTAATATAATTTTAGCTTTAAATATTTTATCTTATATCGAAGTATATTTAGTAAGAAATTAGTTTTAAATCATGAGAAAGACGTTGTTCTAATTTCAGGTTGAATTTAAAAAATTAAATACACTGATACGTCAATTAAATGTAAGATAATTTTAAAATATTATTTTAAAATTCTAAGGCGCTATACATATATTTAGTGAGTCGCATTCATCTGTACAGAATTATGGTTCCAAAGCACATACCAAAAAGGTATACATTCGTGTACCACTCGTTCTGTTTACTGGGCAATAAGTCAATAAAATATTAAATTCCCGTAACACAAAATATAATAATTAAAAAGGTACCGATGCGTCACCAACCTGTGGCGAAATGTACATAAAAGTTTATATTTCTCAATCGACGTTTAGTCTGCGTAAAACTCTCGCGCAGACAGGTTGGATTGTTTGGACAAGGACATTATTATATAAATATAATTAAAATTTAATTTTATTTATCTTATTGTAGATATATTTACATAAGTATTATTTTGAAACAGATAAGTGAATCGGATAATCTATTGTGAAGAAATATTGTTGTGACAATTTTGTTTTTTTTAAACATTAATAACCACGATGGCGGTGGTACAGCAAGCGATGCAAGGATATCATTATGTATTTGACGAATTATCTGGTAAGTATTTTTTAAGTATTTTTTATCATATTTCGTAAAAATATCAATGGCCATATTATCCTTATTTATTATAGGTGTTATGTCAAAAATGGTGAAAAGTCGCGGTTGCTTAAAAAGACATTGCCTTAGCCTAACCTCTCAGGGATAAAAATGCTTTACGTTATTATTGTTTTTGAGGAGGGAAAATCATAAGATGTAAGAGAGGAAGTGTCAGATTCTTATTATTAAAAACTACCCCGATCCTTTCCCTGTTCGAGGCCGGTACATAATTGCGTTTATCCCGCAACCCTTGTTTATGTATTATACACAAAATAATAATGAAATATATGTAGATAATAAATATTTAACGTATGTCTATATAATGTTTGTAAATATATTTATTGTTATACCCACTTCCGATCAATATTTTTTTGTCTCGTAGTAATATCTCACTTAGGTACCAATATTATGAACGGAAAAACTTTTAAGTAAGTTTTACCCTAATACAGGTGATGTTTATTATGTTATAAAACATACAGGGGGTTGTAAAACTGTCTTCTGTTTTAAGTTATACCCCAATATAGATGGACAGATTTTTGTAACATTGCCATAAAAATATATGAAGTAGATCATAAACATTTACTTTTTATCAAGATGGGCTTGGGTACCGCACAATACGGTTGTTTCCAACTAGTCAAATTCAATACTTTTATCCAAATGTCAAAACGATACTTTTCTATGAAAATTGTATGAAACATTGAATTATGACGTCATAGCATTTTTTCGTCAAATAGCTTACTTATTTTTAAAAAAATAGCTTAAACATATCTAAAACTTAGTGTATCGATGGATCGATGAATAAAAGTATAGTTATTTTTCAATATTTTATTGTATTAAAACGTCGAATTAATTTATTTTTGACCTAGGAAGCTACCCAATAAGAAAACTTTTACAACAATCAATTTATAAATTATAACATAACAACTAACAATCATAACTACTTTCTTTCATCGGTAGATAATATTTCATTTAATTTTAGATTTCATCTTGCAAAAATTTCAGAAATACGTATGCTATTTAACGTAAAAACATTATAACGTCATATGTTGCGATTTCATAGAAAATTTTCGTTTTCACTATTTAAATAATTAGTTGGAGGGCTCGGTTCTATCGTCATAATATAACAGACTAGCTACTCTCACGCGGTTTCACCCGCTGCTCGGCTACATTTGATCGTAGCGTGATGTTTTATAGCCTATAGCACTCAGTAACATTGTAGCTAAATATCAGGAAAAGACTTTTGGCAATCCGTCCAGCGGTTCCAAAGATTACCCCCTACATACAAACTTACAATTTTTACCTCTTTATAATATAAGTATAGACAATTTAGTTATTTGACATAATTAATTTATTCTTGTAACGAACCCACTCATAACATTAAGAATCGAACCAATTTGCTGACAAGGTAAATATTTAGCAGAGATTGACATTAATTGCGCCTTTATTCATAATTAATATTCAACATTAGTTTTGATGATTAGGTATTTTAATTTTGATTAAGTACCTATCTGGTTCCATTACCTAATTATGCTTAGTCTTTAGTAAGTAAGCATAATTATTGTGGAAGTTATACCACGGCTTCACAGACAACAGGCTTGAAACAACCACAGCGTTGTGTTTCGCCGTGAAAGGGAAGTTACCGGCGGTCCAAGCCTTTTTCCCCTCCCGAATCCTTAAATATCCAAAACATTAAACCCTAAAAGAAGAAGATTTTTATCACACCCATACTCAAATCATTATATTTATTAAAAGAAACTGCATCAAAATCCGTTGCGTAGTTGTAAAGGTTTAAGCATACACCGGTTTATAGGGACAGAGAAAGCGACTTTATTTTATACTATGTAGTAAAGAGTCTGACACTCTCTTTGCCTCACCATAGGCAAGAAAAGTAAGTTGATGATTTTCCTCCTCAAAAAAAAAGATTTCTAATTAGATCTTCTAGAGCTCTAGTAGACTAGGATTAATCTTTTATTCACAGTCATGTCCCTGATATCCATGTCTATTCAAGTTATTTTTTTTTTTTATAAAACGTTGTCCCAGACTAGGATTTTCTCCTGTGTCGTGGGTGCGTTTAAAAACATACAATTTCACATACACATGACACCCAGACACGAAACAACAATTTGTGTATCGCACAAAGTGTTTTTACGTGTGGGAATCGAACCCGCGAACGTCGCAGGGCAGCCAGTTGCCCAGCCACCGCGCCAACCGTGCAATAGTAGTAGTGCAGTTGCAGGTTGCAGTTAATATTTTTTATTTTTCCTCCGCAGACTCTCGGACGAAAGACTGGTGGCTAGTATCCGGCCCTGGTCCCCTTCTCACAATACTAGCGACGTACCTCTACTTCTGCACAAAGGCCGGACCACGATACATGAAGGACAAAAAGCCCTACAACTTGAAACAAGTTGTGATGGTCTACAATATTTGTCAGATCATTCTTAGCATGTTCCTGTCAGTTATTGTAAGTATAATAGTATGTTTTTTTATTGCTGTTTCGACATGTACTTAACGTACATTCTTATGTTTTTATCAAAGTTGCAATAGATGCCCAGCACCCGGTTTATGATGGCGTAACTTTTAATAACTTTTTGACTGCTTGGTAGACGCTTCAATTTCCGCACCGAATAACAATTTATGTCTTGTTCCGGGTCTGGGTGTGACGGATATGTATGTTTATAAACACATCTACAAAATCATAGTGGAAAGTCCAACAGTATAAGAAAAAATATATTTAATAATTTTCTTTGAAATTCTTAGTGGGCTACTACTTAAGACGTGATATGATCGTGGAGTGCGCAGTCTTCACTGTTACTGTTTTGTTTTTACAGAAAAGGCTTGTTAAAAATTGGGTAGTTTCCTCAGAAAAAAGTAAATTATTTCAATTTGTTAAATAATTAATATTCATAATTTTAAATAATCAAACTTTCATAAATTATTTAAATTATATAAATAAATTACATTCGTATTGGTTAAATAATTCCCGAAAAATATTAATAATATAATTTTTCTTTAAAAAATATTGACGGCATAAAGTGATATTTCACACTTAATTAAAAAAAAGATCTTTTTATGGCATTCCAAAACAAAATACAGAAATGAACTTTAAAGGATCTGAAGCGACCTTGGCCTAGAGCAGGGAGTGTTTTTAGTCAGTAAGCGTTTTGACATTCTCTCTCCTTACCCTGGACGATAGAGGATTTCCCCCCTACAAAAGAGGTGTAAAAACAATTATTGTCTTGGTACCAAACCAGGGTTTATTTATTTACTTGAAAACATACAGAATGTATCTACGACAAATGAAATATGATGTATGAAGACATCTACTAATGGGAGACTAAGGGCTGATAATTATGATGCTGTCCCGTGAGAATGTTTGTATAAGACAGTGACAGCAACAATTTTATTTTTCAGATAACATTTATCTGACTATTGAAAAATCAGCCCTAAGTAGTAATTAATTACGTACCTATTCTTATGATTATTGTAGTATAAAATAAATATAAAAGTATATTATAAAGATGCTGGAATTTAATTACGGACGCGATTAGCAATAAATTCATGGTAAATGAATTTTACAAACATTTATTACATACATAAAGATTATTTAATTTATAACACTCTTCTCAGTGAGCATAGGTATATATATTTAAAAAAACATACAAGTATCAAACTCGTGTATGTTTCAATTATAAAAAATAATCCATCGGTTCAATTATTTCATAATATACGGCAAATGTAAAATGTAGATTTAAATTAACGTTATTAATATTTATGTTGGAAATATTAACATTTCTTATAATTATTATTTAATTATTTAAAATATTTTTTTTGGGCCAAATCTTAATTTATTATTATAAACAATTCTTATTGTAATTATTATACAATGATAATATGGAGTGCAAGCAATGTGTATTAATAAATAATGTTTATAATACTAGCTTCTTGTATGTTGATAAAAAGCTTGTATCCTACTCCGGAGTGTATCTTATGCCCGTGCCAAATTTCATCCAGATCCGTCCAGCCGTTTTGGCGTGATTGAGTAACAAACATCCAAACATTCAAACATCGTAACTTTGGCATTTCTAATTAGTAAGATATTATAAGTTTGCAAAACATATTTATTTGAAAGAATGTGTAACTATGACGTTTTTTGATCGTTCTTCTCCATTCAAATCTACTCTTTGAAACTAACATCTACCTTCACCGACGAGCAGACGGACAGACTGTTATTCTACTTTGACTTTTCAAAAGTACCTGTCTGTAGTCTCATTGAAATATTTTTTAAACGGTTTTTTTATTTTGAATTGCCCAATACTAAACTAATAATATTTGTTAATATTTTGTATTACGAATTCTAGAATAATCAAAATGAGTTAATTTTGTCCTCAATTTTTATTGTTATTATTTACCTACATTAAAAATCTTACTAGGTTTTATTAAAATTATTTTTGTACTCTAAAGCAAACTAATGCATGGATTTTGAAGAAATTTCTAACACAATTTATTATAAACGCTCTCGTAAAACCGAAAAAAAATGTTACGTTATGATTATTATTGTTATAAATAAATGTTATTTTTATTTTTTTTCCAGGGCATCACTTTTTTCCTTACGGAGAAATACGAGAACAAATGTTATTCAGTGGATTACTCGGAGAGCCCTAGAGCGATGCTGGTAAGTAGTATCACCATTTTCCTATAAGTAGATGCACGACGTAGCTGCGATACGCACGCCTCTCATTAATAAGAGTCCCGTTGTGGCTCGAAACTAGTAGGTAGCTTTTTTCAATTGCGTCACGGAATTAAGTAGTTATTTATTTGTCGAAGTGATACGACGGCCTCGCAGAAAATCGGCGTGACACAACCACACCGTTATGTTTCGCCGCGTGACTGAGGTTACCGGAGTCCCAATCGTTTGCTTGCCACAATCTCTCCCCAATCCCAAAATGTTCAAACGCCTAATCCCCAAAAGTTTGGCGATGCACTTATTACTCCTCCGTTGTTGCGGGTGTCCATGGGCGGTGCTGATTGCTTACCATCAGGTAATTAGTCAGCCCGATTGCCGTCCTATCACATAAAAAATGCAATAAGTGGGAATAAGCCACGGACTGTAATTATTTCTTCCAACTTCTATTCAATGAAGTGCAAATTTTAATAGAAAATGAAGGAAGATGTTTCTTAATAAGTCAAATTAAAATGTAGAATAGAGTATGGATGATATTTGACTCAAAGATTATTATAAAATTAGACTCATCTTCAAAATTAGTGTTTATTAAAGCCTAAACGCGTAATTAGGTTTTAAATCACAAGCTTGGTGTTAAAATAATAAATCCCTTGTTATAACTATAATATGGAAAGTGAATCGACATAACTGAATCTCGGAAACGCTTGTAACAGATCTGGATTTTTATTAAATGCAGTGTAGGTACAATTGGCTAGCTAGGATTCATCTTTAGAAAGTATTCAAAATAAAATACCTAGCAAAACTCGGTCATTTACATGTACTTGTATTTATGTGCACATTATTATAATTTTTACCGCTGTATAGTTACTTCTTTTTTCATTTTTTAAAAACCTTTGCCCCACATTAGGATTTTCTCCTGTTTCGTGGACTCGTGGGTGCGGTTGCAAACATACAATTCCACATACACATGAAACCGAACTGGAACAACAATTTGTGGATCACACAAAGAGTTATTCTGTGCGGGAATTGAACCCGCGACACGTTGCACGGCAGCCAGTTGCCCAGCCACCGCACCAACCGTGCAGTCAAAACCTTTTATACAGCTGTTATTGTTATTATATCTGAATTGCAAGTATGCAGATTCTCACTCTGGTTAAACGCACCTATGTTACCGTTCATGTTAGCCCGATGGTTAACATGAGTTTCTTCGTGTGAGAAGAGGCCTTGGCTTAGCTATGAGCATGGGCTGATGATGTGTAGATACTGAATACTTTACATACAAAAGCAATATAATAAATAATCATCAGTGTTTTTTACACAACAATATATTTTATCGTCTGTGTAATTAGGGAAACTTTTTATTTTAATTTGTATTCATAATCAAATCTTATAGTTATACCTAATTAATAATTATAAGAACATTGGTTACGCTTCGATAATTTACCACATGGGTACTTAATATACCAGAAAGCAGTCATCGAACCATAACTTAAAATAATATCTCAATAAGATGGCCAGTAAACATTCCACCTTGTTTAATTAACACAATGTTGCAGTTACACTTCAAATAGAATAAGGAAAAATAATACGCGACTTAAGCACTGTAAAACAAACAATAATGTGTTTTATATTTACTGTTCTAAGTTCAATATTTAATGACAGTTTCTGTATCAATATTGATATGGTTACACAGTTATGAGTGATGATAAGTGTGGGAGAGCCATACTTCGGCACGAATGGCTTAACCGAAGTGATACCACGGCCTCATAGAAAACCGGTGTGAAACAGCCACGGCGTTGTGTTTTGCCGTGTGAGTGAGATTACCAGAGGTCCAATCCTTCCCCTCCCCCAATCCCAAAGTCTCCAAACCCCCAATTCATAAAAGGTCGGCAACACACTCACAACTTCTCCTTTGTTGCGGATGTCTATGGGCGGCGCTGATTGCTTATCGTCAGGTAATCCGTAAAATAGTTTACCGTCCTATCACCATGAAAAAATGTTACAAATATTATTAAAATAATTTTAAGGAAATCATTAATTTAGAATTTGGCCAATCATTAGATGTGCATTTAGTGCACAGCAATAAGCAATTTTTCATAAACATGTAACTACTCTAGATACTACAAGATAAAACAGTTTCTAGCTATATTTTCCAAAGTTTGGTATTCATATTGTTGGAGTTTTCATCTCAACTTTAAAATCCTTAATAATAGAATCACAAACTAATATTAGTTGTGTTCCTTAACAAGAGCCGGAAAAATATTTCTATTTTGTCAATTTTATTGAAATTTGCTATTCTATTTTATAACTTTATGATGGAAAAGGTATTTTTATTATCGTGAATTTGTAATGATGTTACACCAAAAAAGGTTATTTCTTTAAATTGATGAAACACGAACAGACATGCGACGCATTTTTCTTGCGTTATAAATTATTAAATTCTAAAATCATAAAGTCATAAAGTGCCCACTGCTGAGCAATGGTCTTTTCTAACACGGCGAAGGTTTTAGCATTAAATCACCATGCATGCTCAAGGCAGATTGGCGATTTCAAACTTTTAATTATAAATTGTAAGTCCAGGTTCCTTAATGTTCCCCTTCACCGTATGTCTGAGATGTCTATCATAGAAAGTACATATATCTCGGAAAAGGTCACATTTATACTTGTCAGGTAACGAACCGAACCTCATGCATGAGAAGCTGAATTATCGAATACGTTTTGTGTTTTTTGTTATGTTGGCTACTTTGAAGTGTAAATTGCATTGTTTTGTTAAATGGGTAAACGTTTTCCTTAACTGAAAATAGACGACAATATAATAGTTTAACCACTTCCTAGTCATAACAATAAGCTTCTAATTTTACAGAAATAAAAAATCATGAAAATATAAGCAAACGAGCAAACGGATTACCTGATGATAAGCAATGAGCGCCGCCCAAGGACTCTTGTAAGTACTAAAGGAGTACAATTGCGTAGCCACCAGCCTCTTTTGATTATTAGGGATTATGGATAGAAGATTTTAAGGTTGAGGATGGGGGAAGGCATTGAGATTTGGTAACGTAACTCACACGGCGAAACACAACGGCCGAAGAACACTTAAACTTTATTTGTGGGAGAGCCATGCTTCGGCACGAATGGAACCACAGCGTTGTGTTTCGCCGTGACAGTAACGTTACCGGAGGCCGAATCCTTCCCCACCCCCAATCCTTCCTCAGGCCCTGAATCTCCAAATCCCTAATCCCTAAAAGGTCGGCAACGCACTCGTAACTCCTCCTTGCGGGTGCGGGTGTCCGTGGGTGGCGCTGATTGCTTACCATCAGGTAATCCGTCTGCTGGTTTGCCGATCTAATATATTAAAAAAAAAACTACTACTTATAGACACGAGATATGTCTGTCGTGATACTCATATCGTGTATTACAATACCAATGATGTGCTAGTGAAATATGCTAGTAGGTAGGTACTGTTAAACTCATTTGCGTACTTCAACATAATAAAATGGTATTATAATGACAGTCAATGAATAAGTAAGGTGCCTCAGACATGTCGTGTCTTAAACATGAAAAGGCAATGCTTGAAGGTAAAATATATTATCTTGTTTGATAACAAATAAACTCTGGTTTCTATAGAATAATCACGTCCATGCAACACGTGAACCAGTATTAACTGACCGTTTAAAGAATGGACCGATCATTCGAAAGAAGACCAAGATGAACTGGTTTTTTTATTGCTTGATCTGGTCTGGTAATATGGTCTCCAATAGAACGCTGATCGCTCGGAATCTCCATACGATGCGTCATTATTAGTATTGGTTTAAGCTATTATTAGGGCCCGTTATTAATAATTCGTTTTAGATAAATATATGTATATGGGTTTGAAAACTGGCAAGTAGATATCAATGTGATCTTTTGCCGAATTTTGTGTGCCTACTATCTACATTTTGTTAAGACTCCACTGATATACGGTGAATGAAAAAATTAGAAGAAAACTTGGTCTTATCATTTTGTCGAACGAGGACGAAGAGGAAGTACTAACCCGGAGACACATTGAAAAGAAAATTGTTAATTGAGAGATTTATATCCATAATTTTTTTTATCATCATCAGCTTTAACTGCCTATTGCTGAACAAAGGCCTCTTCTCATACGAAGAAGGTTGCATTAATCTTCACGCTTGCTTAATACGAGTTGGCGATTTCAAACTTATAATTAGAAATTATAAGTCCTCATGATGTTTACATTCACCGTATGTCATTGGTGTCTAAATAATCATAGAAAGTACATATAACTCGGAAAAGTCACATTGGTACTTGCCAGGTTTCGAACCCACACCCTGATACATGAGAAGCGGGCTCCTTAACCGCGGCTAGTGAAATATTAAATGGAAAATTTTATGCCGAGATATAAACCATGAATTAAGCATGTTTATTTTATAATGTTATACATAATTATGTTTACTGAAACATTTATCTAATCATACAATTCTGCAATCTGTGGGTCCATCCATATTAGCATCTGTGATTCTTAATCTTACTTTTTGGTGTACCTCGTGGGATTTGTTTTATAGTTTGTGTAGGCCAAAACCAAAGAAATTGGGGCCACATGATTAATTTTGGAGTCAAGTAGTCAGAGATTCTCATTTCGAAATATCCTTAAGAACTAAATACAAATCGATAGGCACATTGCTTGTCGCTGTTTAATTATTATAAGAATTGTTTGACTAACTTATATTTCGCCTTGTGAGTGAGATTAGGTTACCAAATCCCTATCCTCAAAAGGGCGGCGGCGGCGTCAGGATTTTATAGTCCCGAGGCAAAGGACACGTGGTGGGTCAGCGCTGAAAACCAGCGCTGTTGTTTCGTGCCTGTGTGCGCGAGACTCAGCATTTATGCTGAGCGCTGCCTCTTTTCACGCATGAGTGACGCAATTGCAGCGCTTTTCTGTTTTTATGTTCATTTTTTGTTTTGTCCCTTTATAGCTATATTCATGTGTGTTTGTTTCTTGCGTCATTTGTGTGTAAAATAAATGGTTCTTCTTTCTCTCTTTCTTTCTTTATTTCTTTTAAAGAATCACTTACTTTCATCTCAATATAATATCTAAATATCATAATGTTTTGCAGTGGGCTACCGGTGCTTGGTGGTTCTTCTTCGCCAAGATCACGGAACTTATGGATACAGTCTTCTTCGTGCTTCGAAAGAAGGACAGACAGATCTCCTTTCTTCATCTTTACCATCACACCGTAATGCCGATCGTTGGATGGATGGGTGTCAAGTATGCAGCAGGTATGTTCCGCGCGAGCGTCAAAGAGCCAATAGACCCACCACAGACGGGGCTCTATTAGGGCTGATGTTTAGCCGGGGTTGCGGGGTAAGCGCAATTAGGCACTGCGACCTCGGCCCGGAGCAGGAGAAGGAACAGGGGGGTTTTTAGTCGATAAGAGTCTGACACTTCCTCCTGCCCGGCCCTGGGCCGGAGAAGTCATTTGATGATTTTCCCCTCACAAAAAAACGGTACCCGTTTAGTCTTTAAAAAAAATCATGTCTTAGTTGACATGAACTTATGATTACAAGATGTTTCTGAAGTTTTCATTTTGTTATTTTTATAAAAATGTAATGAAAATACAATCTCCGCTGCGCCCAACGCGGCCCTGAACTATGCAATTTATAAAATATTTCTATATTCATAATTACAAATGAACTTTCTACTAATGAATACTGTTTAAAATACTTTGCAATAAACAATAATAAAATATCGCAACCAAGTGATAGTCTGTTCGCTTTTTTTAAAGGGTAATCATCAAATAACGTGTCCAACCCTGGTCAGGGCGAGAGTGGAGGTCAGAATCTCACTGACTATTAATTATCCCGAGTTTTTGGCATCTCTTACTTTAAACCGGGCCGTGACATGTCATTGATCAATACGAAAAAAACTCTTTAGAAATTTTTAAAAGCGAACACGATAATATGATTTTTCAGGAGGGCAAGCTATTGCTGAGGGTTGTATCAACGCATTTATCCACGTCGTTATGTATACTTACTACCTCATCTCCGGTCTGGGACCTGAGTACCAGAAGTACCTGTGGTGGAAGAAGCACCTCACTACTATGCAGCTGGTAAGGAATATTCTAGATTTATGATATCTACCATCGAGACTGGCAAAAATATATATCTATTTTTAAAACAAGGTCCAAAGTCATTCCGCCACTATCCTTTAACGGTTACTCATCGATTTTTTTAAAATCTCGTATTGTTTTTTCGTTTTTTTTACGTTGCCCCATATAAGGTTTTTCTCCTGTATTGTGGGTGTGGTTACAAACATACAATTTCACATACACATGACACCCAGACCCGAAACGACAATTTGTGGATTACACAAAGTATTGCGGCAGACAGTTACCCAGCCACCGCACCAACCGTGCAGTCAAATCATTTAAATGTATATTGATGAATTTAAATTATAAAAAATATGGTTTCCTAATTGTAGGCAATTGGCACCAATCATGGACATCTATATACATTACTCATAATTTTAGAACAGTCCAACATATTATTGTAACTTAATATTGAAAACTTTACCTTAGGAAAAGCATTTACAGTATATATCTTTCTATAAGTAACCGACAAAGTTACGTGCCACGTTGCTATTATATATAAAAATCTAAGCTATATAATTAAATGTTACATAATGGCTATCCAGACATAATGAAACAGGCCCTTAGTCCCATAATAATTGTGGACTAACTATGCCGTAACTAATGTCATCTAATGCGTTCCAGTTGTGCAGTATTGCATTTAGCATTGTGTTCCGTTAATGACCTAGTTAATGAGCACGCGTATTAACTAGGGGACTCAGAACCCCTTTTTTTAAATTATTAATGATCTAATTATTATTAAAATAAAGCATATTGTACAGCATTACATCCATTTATTTTAAGACGTCGCGCACCGCCTTTTCGTACTAAATTTCTCTACTATTAAACTAATTGTATACACATTCTCCTTCAATCACTCTATCTATTAAAAAAACCGCATGAAAATCCGTTGCGTAGTTTTAAAGTTTGAAGCGTCTTTGTGCGCTTAAATCTGACGGCTATATGTATAAGTATAGTCCTCTACACCGGTTTTGGTAACAGCGACCTATATAAGTATGTATCATGTCAATTGATTTAAATGAGGTTTGGCTATATTTAAAACTTATTTTATCACTACATATTATAAAACAAAGTAGCTTTTTTTCTGTCCCTATATTATCGATAATCATCATTCAGCCTTATCCGACGTGCAAGTTTTGGTAACTACTTCACTCTAACCTGTCCAATTTTCTAAGCAAAATCTACTACTATTAGTTACTGTAACTACTAGTTGTGTATTAAATTTTGAAAAAAGAAATCTAGGAATTAGCTCACCAAAACTACTGCACAAAATTTTATGAATCTCAGTTACTCTTTTACAACGAGTCTCTTATAAAGAGTTACGTTATACTTATATCATGCTGTAAAACCTATCAAAGTACATATTCGTGGTGAGAGAACAATAAAATCGAGAATAGCAGTCTGTTATATATGGATTAAATTTGTTTTCTAAAATGAAATTCAATAAGTTTCTAGACTATAATATTCTTCCATATAAGTACTTAGTGTCATTAAAATCAGTTCAGTAGATTATATTATTTTTTACTTGTACCACTGTATGAAACCATTCGGTTGAACGCTCGTGCATAGTCATTCACTTGGATTGCATTTCATTTCAGATCCAGTTCTGCATCATCGTCTACTTGAACGTGAACAGTCTATCTTCTAGTAATTGCAACTATCCTAAATACTTAAGCATATTCGTTATGATGAATTGCTCAGCTTTCTTCTTTATGTTTGGAAGATTCTACTACAACAGCTATGTCCAAGGAACCAAAAAACATTTCGTAACGGTCTGCCAAAAGTCCCAATAAAGATTATTTTCCTTTGAAAGCTAAAGGTTAGGAATTGAGTTTAAGGGTATTAGTGTTTCAATTTCGCACTCTATTGGTCCTCCGTCCTCGTTTTATAATCGACCATAAAATTATGAAGTTTACGTTTTAAACTTATTTGCACATCACAATTATGGCTAGGTTTATTTTTCTGAAATGTGATACTTGTGTATTTTTATAATTTTACTGACGTAAATGTTTTTATGGTCGACTATTCCAATAATGAATTTAATTCTTCTATATAAAGTTAGTTATTGAAGTAAATGGCTTAGCTTTGTAAGCGCCTGTACATATTTTCTCGTTACTATACTGTATCTTTTATGTAGGACTTATCTTTATAATTATATTAATTATTGTGTAAATAATAAATATTAATTTACTAAATATTCCGTTTTTAAATTTCCTATCTAAATCTTATTTGTTTAACAATGTTATGAACTAGTTAGTAACTTCAGATTGTTTGTACCTGCTGCTTAAAATTATTCATAGCATGATGTTTGATCTTAATAAATACATAGAATCTCTCACGAAAAAATAATTGCTTAGTTTGAACCAATTATTTCAGTATTATATTTGTTATTCTGTAACGCGATTGTTTTTTTCTGCGACTGACCCTCCTAGCAGCTACTTAGTAGTAGCACCTAGTAGGGGAAACCGATGTTAAGGGGGATTTTAAAATAAAGTCTAACTCCCCTCCTAGACTCCCCTCCTAGACCTAGGACATCGTCAGAACGAATTTCGGTATGATCAACAGGCTAAACATTTTAAGTTTCAGTTCAAATCGCCTTTTAATATATTCATGTTACAAATGCTAATGTGATGATTGCTATTATTTTCTATTAGGAGATTGAAATATGCACCCATGCACAAACATGCAATAAAAGATTAATTATAAACAGGCTTCAATATTGGTCAGGGGCAGGGGCCATAGTATTTCCATAGTTATCATATCCACCAGTCGATAGCAACCCATACCCATAACCCTATCAATTTTTACCACATTTCACAATAGTCCTGCATCAACCGGGGATTGTCTTTGGGTGCACTTATATAGTGCATACAGGGATAATTGCCGGCTGATGTCCCATCACATTTAGATTAAAACTGTTCAACGGGCCTCTGCGAGTTGGCTTCGGCTCCTCGTACGCCTTCCAAAGGTCCGGGACCCTGTGGTCCCGTGAAAGGAAAGAACAGGCTTCAATGAAAGCGCAATGATGTGATTTAGTCAGTAAGAGATGCTCACCCTCGCCCCGATTAGGACACGAAGAATGATTGGATGACTTCCTCCAAAATAAAAAAACAGATTTCTTTTTTATGTAGTAGATCGGCAAACTAACACACGCATTACCTGATGGTAAGCAATCAACACCGCCCTTGAACACCCGCAACAATAGAGGAGACTTACAAATGCGTTGCTGATCTTTAGAGGGTTAGCGAAGACGAGTGGGTGTCCATGGTAGGCACTGATTGCTGATGATCAGATGGTCCATCTACTTATTTACAGCCCTATGACTGTTTATATTTATTAAAAATAAAAAACACATGTAAAAGTATTCATTAAGCTACAGACGGCTTTTGCACTGGATCGAATGTCACGGGAGCTCTCCATCATTGAGCAAACGGTGCTCTGGAGTCTGTCCGGTGTCAAAACATTCTGTAGTGTTTCATTCCTCTGGCTCGGAAAGCAAGTGAAGCTATTGATTTATAGCTTAATGCACAAGAAAATGTACACAAGGTGGACAGATTTGTCTATTGGTATTGCGCTTAGCCTCAATTCAATCCTTTCTGAGTTGTCTTTTGTTATTATTTGGTTGAAAATTACTCTGTCGAAAAACTATTTACGAGGAAGTAGGTTATTATTAGGAAGTAATAATTATTTACGAAACATTAATTATACATATCTATCTATATTTTAATTTTTAAAATAATCATTTAAATGTTACGGTAGTAGTATTTAATGGTCATGGCAACGAATTTTTTTTTTATATCCATATTGTTTTTTACGTTAATATTATGATTTATACTTTCTAATTTATACCTTATACATAATAAATGGCTCAACTTGGTTCCGCCACGGTGCTTCTTAATGATTTCCAGTGGTTTTGTTATAATTATAGTCTTAAGAGGATTACAAATCCAAGCTTACGGCGCGTACCCTTCGCGAGTACGTCAAGGAGCCAATAAACCTCCACAAATGGGACCTAACAGACAACGGAGAGAAGAAACGGGATGGAGTTTAGTCAGTAAGAGTCTGATACTCCTTCTTATACTTTCTAGGGCGAGAGAAGTCGTGTGAGATTTCCCCCGTCATCAGCCTATAAGTGCCCCAAAGGCCTCTTCTCATACGGAGAAGGTAAAAGAAACCTAACGTGTTTTAGATACTGTTTGTATAGATGCGAAAATAAAAATTGATTAGAACAGGACAGGAAAGATAACCTACTGATTGGTGTCAGACCGGACTTAATTATAACAAGACTTGAAGAAGCTGAGGTTTATGCTATTCAAGCCACTAAGATTCGATATTGTTAGTTTATACTCAACCACTGACTTTTTTGTGGCAATGGCAATTTCAGAAGCGGGCTCCTTAAACTCCGGGGATTTTCCCCCCTCAAGACTAAAATCACAACAATTACAAAATGTGACAAATTCAGATAAAGGTCCACAGGTTTTCTGGTATGCGACTACTATCGTAGTAAAGTTTATGTATATACATATCTTTTAGTATTGGTTTATCAGATATGGAAACTTAGGTATGTTGATTCACTATTTTTTTTTATTAATGGCATGAAGGAACAAATGTAACATCTGAATTTTTCACCAATGTTTGATACCTTTCATGGTTCAATACTTACTATAACTTCTGCGCATTTGTCTAGTATTTTAAAAATCGGAATTGACCTCAATCTGTGTACATTATTATTATGTACATATTTTAAAGTAACCGAAACAATCTTATTCGTTCTTTTGTTAGAATTTCGGCCTAATTAAACTGTTGGAGTTCAAAGGCCTTCTTTGATTATTAAAAAAACAAAATACCCGACTGCACACTAAAAAAAGAGTAAAACAAGCCCCACAATACAAATTTACTGAATATAATTTATAAATGTTGATGGAAAGCATCGCAGGCGGGGACCAACAGAGGCTTATTTATAGTCATTTCTGTTGTGCACCATTTAGCAGAATTTTCGTTGGTGGCGGTCAAGGTGGTCCCCGCCTGCGATGCTTTCCATCAACATTTATAAATTATATTCAGTAAATTTGTATTGTGGGGCTTGTTTTACTCTTTTTTTAGTGTGCAGTCGGGTATTTTGTTTTTTTAATAATAATTTTTTTATTTAATACTTTTTCCCGTGGGAATTTTGAGAAAAAACGTATCCTATATTAATTACTCCCGTGATTGAAATGAATCTAATGATACCGCATACATATTTTTTTAAAGGGAAATTTAGAAAAAATATTATTATGTCCTTATCCCGTGGGACTTTTAGGATAAAATGTATCCTATGACACTCCCGTAATCAAGACAAATCTAACGATACCTCATACATCAAAATCCATCAAGCCGTTTAGGCTACAGGAGGTCACAAAGGAAAAGACATACATACATACTTACATACACTCGAAAAACATTACCCTCCTTCTTTGGCAGTCGGGTAAAAACGCATTCATTAACACATACGAGTACATACGATACTACCGTTATGTGTTTCAGTGGCACAAAAAATGTTTTACCTATTTTCGATTTTCAACTGTCTATGTAGGTATTATTTTTAGTTAACTACTTCTACTAAGCAGTTAGATACATAATCAAACCAACTAAATAATGTATCAAAGAATCTTTATGTGACACTGATTTAAAAAGAGTAACCATGGAGTTTCTTGCTCGTTCTTCTCCATCGGAATCTACACTTTCGAACGAGCGAATAGCTTCACTAAGAGGACTGACCGATAGACTGACACTTTATATCTTTAAAATTTTATTTGACATTCAAAAGTGCCTATATGGGTCTAATTGCAATGAATAATTTTGACTTTGACTTTGATAAAAAGTTAGATTAGTCTTAGGGCTGATTTTTTAATGGTTAGATAAAAGTTATCTGGGCAATAATTATAATGCTGTCGCATCAGAACGTCTGTATAAGACAGTGACAGCAACAATTTTATTCCTTTGATAACAACTATCTGACTATTGAAAAATCAGACGTTAGTACCTACTCTTAATTTACAACCAATGCTGAAACATTATATAAACGTTTATTTTGTAAATAAATTCAATGTCTATAACAAGATTATTTAGCTAACTATATATTATTATTTTTTTGTTTTTTATGGCATAGGTCGGTAAATGAGCAGACTTAACCTGATGGTGAGTAGCCGTTGCTGCCAATGGACACTTGCAATACCAAAGGAGTTACTACAAGTGCGTTGTCAGCCACCTTGTGGATTATTAGGGATTTAAAGGTAGAGGATTTGACGATTGAGGATAGGGGGAAAGATTGAAACTCCGGTAATCTCACTTACACTAAGAAACACAACGTAGTTTTGCTTGACGCTGGTATTCTATGAGGCAGTCGTACAACTACATTCCAGCTGGCCCATTCGTGCCGAAGCATGGCTATTCGACACTTGACACGACACTCTCTCACACACATAATAAATAGCAGAGCAGTTTGTTTGTTTGTTTCCTTGCTTGGACGCGCTAATCTGAGGAACTACTAGATCAAAATGAACAATTATTTTCGTGTTAGATAGGCCATTAGTAAAGGAAACCTAAGGGGTAAACAACATCACGCTATAACCAATAAGCAGGCAGCAGGTGAAATACGTAGTAGATAGGTTTTATACAGTTTGCACAATGTCGATAAATTCTGTTGAAATTTGAAAAAGTAACGCCATTTTTAATCCATATTTTTGTATTAATATTATATCAATGATGTACTGAGTAACGTAGTTAAACATTATTATTCGATTTAAGAATTTTAGTGTAGTAAATACTTTAAGACATTTCTCAAGTACCATCAGAGATTTAGGTCTTATTTAAATTTTCAAGTTTCGAAACTCTTACTGGCTAACTATATAAAAGCCACTCCATTCCTTCTCCTGCTCATGGACGAGGCCGTGGTATATTATAGCGCTGGCACCCGCAACCCCAGCTTGAATACTTGATATTTCTCACTATTCACAGTGAGACTGTTAACATACACAGAATATGGATAAAGAATATAAAAAACACGTTCTTTTTAAATCGATCCTACAATTACAATGTCAATGACATGAAATAGTTTGTTTTAAAATACACAATGACTTCTATATATGTTAATTATAACGAGGAATTCAACAAAGAAAAGTAAAAACTAGACGGGCGCATCCATAAGTTTATTTTCGATGAAATTGAAATTGAACTGTATTCTCATTTGAATAGGTCACTTATTTATTATATCAATAATTATTTAACAATGAATACAATATAACCCACTTTCGATGAACATAACAGAATGTAAAATTATATTTATTTATATAATCTGCTATTTTGTTCAATTTCGTAAAAAAATAAAATTATAAAAACTTAATTCTGGCATGAATTGTTGATAAATGATTAAACTTGTCTATTTCTTCAATCCTTATCTTGGTTTTTAATGTACATTTAAGAAAAAACTAATTTATTATTTTCTAAAGTTAAAAAGAGTACGAATTCATTTTCGTTTTTAAAATGGCTCCTATCAATAAATATTTCATTTAATATTTGACATTCGCTCATTGCCAACGTAAGCAAAGCTTTATTCGCATCATTTATATCGTAATCTTAATAAGTTCTATAGCCGCATATTATAGAAATACGTTATTTTGTTTTCTAATCTATGTAAAATATCTATATCGTATAAAAAGTCTGAAGAAAATTTAGTGCCCAAATCACTCTAATTGCTGATCTCTACCGGGATAAGTGCATCTTGATAAAAGTAATTGATCACCGAATACACAACTTTAAACAAAAAATAAAAAACAATTGAAAATACTGTCTGCTATCTTCCACTATTTTTTAACACTTCATCTTGCGAAAGAAGACTAAGAGACGAGATTAAGAAAATTGAGAAAAATCCATCGCGAGAAAACGAAACAAAAAATACGAAAGAAAAAAAAAACAAAGTTGTACTACTGTTAAACATTTATCAAGTGCATAATAAGAACATAACTAATGAAAATGTAAATATATTTATACCCCTTAACACTGAATCTATTATCGTATTAATTGAACTAGCATCGCATTAGTTGTTTAAAAGAAATCATTCTGGTATGGTCGTAAAAAATGCGGGCGTAAAACAATAAAAAAAAACTAAATAAATTCGTGACTTTGGATATTCATTTGGATTAATTGTTAACTTAAATAGAAAAGTGTATTTGATTTTGACATTTATTAAGAAGGAGACGAACGGTGGGAGAAGATTGTTTCGTAGAACAGAAAGTGAAAGGAAAGAAGAAGAAAAAAGAAGCAAACAATTTATTCTACCAGAATGGCCGCCATTATTGGTTTACTTTGGCAAGGATACAAACGTGTGTTCCAGGAATTACCTGGTAAATATTTTTAGTAATTCATGTTTTATTCACCATACTATCCCATACATCATCATTAGCCTATAAGTGCCCACTGCTGAGCAAAGGCCTCTTCTCATACGGAGTTAATCACCACGCTTGCTCAATGCGGGTTGGCTATTTCGAACTTATAATTAGAAATTATAAGCACAGGTTTCCTCACGATGTTTACCTTCGCCGTATGTCAGTAGTGTCTAAATAATCATAGAAAGTACATATAACTCGGAAAAAGTCCCAGAACCCACACCCTCATGCATAAGAAGCGGGTTACTTAACCTCCGAGCCGCCTCGACATTTTAACTGCTACTATCCCTTAAGCATACGACAAAACAAATAAACTGACTGAAACGATAACTGACACGAAAATTGTAAATTCGCAACATTTTAATTGTAAATGATCGTTCATCAGTTGCGACAAATGAAATAACCACTTTGCCATGAAACCGTGCCGGAGATCATTCGCCTTGGCGACAATGCATCTGTACGTAAACTAAAGATGCACTTGAGCGCCTTTGACTCCAGAAGGAAGTTCGCCACTTCTCCGGAGATCGTGCGATAGCTACGGATGACGCATATGGTCATAGCCCTAGCGCGATCAGCGCACGGCCTAGCCGCCCAATCAAATCCGATGCCCATACAGGGTCCCTGTATAGGGCCATGGATTGCACAATATCCAAATGCAACGTCCAGGAGGCGTTGGGCCCCCCGGGTTAGGAACGAGCCGCTTGAGCGTGACCCCAGTCCGTTTCAATTTGGGAGGTACCGTCAAAAGTAGAAATACATATTGTTTGGGCTAGACAATTAATTACAAATGCATCTGTCAGTAACACATGACGTAAAACTTTTGTGATTACATCATCTGGTATTCAAATTCAAATTTCAGTAATAAACAAAATTCTTTGGCCGCATTCCTAACATTATTTCAATATTAATAAATAAATATTCACACGAATTTAAATATTAACAAACTTTAATAATAATTGTATTTTTGGGTCGCGACTTTTATTGTTCTTTATTAGATACCTATATTTTAATTTGCACACCTTGTTGCAAAATTGCAAAATATTATTATTTTAGAAATTAATTATGATCAAGTATGCTAACTGTAGTTAGTAGACTTATTTGCCAGAGTCATTTGATGATTACCTTTGCAATTCTTTTCGGAAGAAAATTGTCTCTTAGTTTTAGTTCAAGTAGACATTTTTACTATTTAAAATAATAACTTGAAGAATAATTCGAATGTAAAGTGGCCGCAGGGATTTGATTTTGACACGGAATAATTCTTTGGGTCCTCTACAAATACGAGGGTGAGGGACTTTCATTGAACAGAATTGTTGTCGTGAAATGTATCTGAGGACTAGTTAATCTCCTATGGCTTGTTAATGGGTCAATAACCTTTCTATTTACTTCTAGCCACTTTGTTATTATCTTATTTTAATGCCATCTCTTCAAACATCATACTATTGATCGACATTTAATTGAACCAAAGTCAAAATATTTATTCAAACTAAGCCTTTACTAAGCCTTTGATTATAATGGAGAACTGCTCGTTGAAAGAAGTCTCTTGTTTCAACGAAAAAAACGAAAGAACAGAGTTGAAAGAAGCTCAGTCGTTCCGTACATGTATATTGGCACGCCGGTCCCTTATTGGATAAGGCAGAGTGGGCCGACTCAATTGAACGCTTAATGACATGATTCCGACATGCGTTGTTCACTTCTTCTACATTTATAAATGTTTGATGCATATTTTTTAGAAATATTGTTTATTTTATACTATCTTCCGGACACGGCTTTCCCCGCGTGGTATTTTAATAGAAAGCAGCTTATGTATAAGTGTAGGAGAGCCATGCTTCGGCACGAATGGGTCGGTTCGACCGGAGTGATACCACAGCCTCACGGAAAACTGGCGTGAAACAACCACAGCGTTGTGTTTCGCCGTGTGAGTGAGGTTACCGGAGTCCCAATCCTTCCCCTCCCCCAATCCGTCCTCAATCCCTAAATCTCCAAATTCCTAATCCCTAAAGTTCGGCAACGCACTCGTTACTCCTCTGTTACGGGTGTCTATGGGCGGCGCTGATTGCCTACCATCAGGTAATCCGTCTGCTCGTTTGCAGATCTAATGAATAAAAAAAATATATTTTACAACTAGCTTTCGTCTGCGACTTTGACCGCGTGGTATGTTGATAAGAGGCGACCTATGTGCTCATCCAGGGTATCACCTATCTACATACTAAATTCGGACCAGCCGTTTATGTTTAAAAAAATAACAAACATTCTCACTCACAATCACATCACAAACCTTCACTTTCACATAATATGTATTAGTATAATTATAACCTTTTTGTTAAATTTCAGATCCTAGAACAAAAGAATGGTTCTTAATTGCCAAACCCTATCAAACGCTAGCAGTACTCGGCCTATACTTGATGTTCGTCCTAGAATGGGGTCCAAAGTTCATGAAGAATCGTCAACCTTTTAACTTGGATAAGGTCCTAATTGCGTATAACTCATTTCAAGTTCTAGCTTGTGCATATGTTTTTATTAGGGTGAGTATTTTTTATTTATTTATGAATCTTAATAAAAACAACGAGGTTGAGGATGCAAACGCGATATTGTACCATGGTGCCGAGCAGATGGAACGGGGTGGTAATTAATTAGTAAGAGTCGTTAACCACCCCTTTCTCTATCCTAATCTGAGCCAAGATCCCGACTATTTTCTTTTTGTCAAGCTGTTGCGTGATGAAGATATTAAACATTTATTTATTAGCACAAAAGTTGATTTCAGAACAAGTTCGTTAATAAAGAATAGTTATTTTAAGTAGACGTTAAACATTTCTAGGTACCTAAGTGAATTAACTGAGAAGAGCTTCACTAGTTTCAAGTCACAACGGGACTCTTATTCGCGTAGTCGAGTAAGGCGCGCAAGCTCGAGTAGTCAGTTGTTTGCGATGTCGCCGCGACGTGTACGCTGCTCCTGAATAAGAGTCCCGTTGTAACTCGAAACTAGTAGAGCTTTTATCAATTCACGTGAATAAGATTTTTTTCATGTCATGAGATCATAATTATAAAAATCATAATAATACAGTTGTTAGACATTTAAGATTTAGAATTAATTGACGCTTCAGAACATATTATCTAATATAAATTATAATTTGATCTTTTTACATTTCAGTCGTTGCAAGTAGCATGGCTATGGGACTACAAATGGATATGTGAACCGGTCGACTACTCAAATTCACCACAAGCGATGGAAATAGCGAATATTTGTTATTACTACTTTTCATTAAAAATTATTGATCTGCTTGACACAGTGAGTATACTTAAACTTTTATTTATTACTTGTATAAGTGCACGTTTAACGCGTCTGGGCAACCGGCGGCCATGCAACGTACCGCGAGTTCGATTCCCGCTCGGAACTACTTGTGTGATCCAAAAATTGTTGTTTCTAGTCTAGGAGTAAAGTGTATGTGGATTGTACTGTTGACATATTGACAGCAGGAAATTACAAAGTGGAGACAATCTACATAATGTTTTTTTTAGCCTTAAATGATAGCTTAACTCTCAATCAAAAACAAGGTTTATTGATTGATGATTCTAAATTCTTATCGCATGTTTAGCAGGAGACGTCTTGTGCAAGATATGACGGTAAATGTTTCTAATAGTTATCAACTTATGGTGTGAGTTTGTCATCAACAAAAACGGTTAAACACCACTTTTTTTGAAATGAACCTTATCTTCTTAAACTTAAGGGCTTTTTTGGCTGTATACCAACCAATTACAACACAATTTTTACACACGTATTTTATGGTCTATGTTCACTGAGGATAGTGTAGCTTCCTTTCAGTTTATCTTTTTCAGAATTTTATCAAATTGTTCAGTTAGTTTCGTTGCCAAAATTTTCCTTTTGAAAATATTACTTTACCAAAATTAATGTTAATTAGGAACGCTCCTTAAATTTCAAATCTGTAAACAATACTACATTAATTATAAATAATCATAATATTAGTTTCCTACTACCTACGAGTTAGAAATTAAATTCTTATGCATATATTCCTCAATTAGGTTAAAATTAATTGCTTAGTATATGATTTATTATATTAGCATTTCATTAACCTTTATCAATTGTTTTATAAAGAATAATCCGTTTATATTTCGCGTAATCAATGCCTATTGCGGACAAAAAAATATTCAAGTATTTTGCGAACAACTAGACATATTATCATTGCAAATACTTAGTAGCATTTTAGTTGTAGAAGCGTTTTAAAAACGTTTCAATATATAATGTTAATAGTACTATATGTTCTGGTAATATATAGAATCAAAAAGGTTGATAATTGGGGTAGGAAACAAAAAGAAGATTTGGAAAAAGAAAGGCCTCGCTAACCTCTTGCAGCATTGTCTACACATATTGGGGCTGGAATAACTGCCACACTAGTGCTGACAGTTTCTGTCCTTCCAAAGGTTATCAGGAAGATATCGCTAAATGCCATTTATCTTGCACATTTCCAGCACATACAAGTTAAATTATGATCAAGTTATATACACACAATAAAGAATAAATATTTAAAATGATCTCTTGGAAGCAAAAAATTGGCACGTTTCTTTTGGGTTGTTTTTTGTGCTTTTTTTCATATACCTATTATACATTTTATAACTATCTGAACTTATCAACAACGTTGTACTGAAGCTGAATAGTATTGTAAGACGCACATAGATGAGTATCTATTCTACAATACACACAAAGAAGCTGACAGTGGTCGGTTGCGAAGGGTTGAAGATCAAGCTAATTAGTTAGTTATTGTGAAAACAAAACTATAATTATATTGATTGACAGATTGGCGATTTCAACCAAATTTCCTCACCATGTTTTTGCCTTCACCATATGTACTGACATATGGTATTTAAACTTAGGGAGTTCATACATATAACTCGGAAAAAGCAACATAAGTTCAGCAACATAAGCCAGGGTTTTGAGGCCGCAATATTTCAGCACAAATATTTCATTGTTTTTAAAAAATACTGTATTTATTGTACACATGTTTTGAACTTATGCAGCTTGGTTTATAAAGGTCTCAGCTAAGTATTTGTTTATTTCTAATTCACTTTCACAATCTGAATTACTAAGGTAATGTATTCTAGCCTTGCACACATGAACAACGGTGACCTGTGATGTTAAACAATTCTAACTTACACTTGATTAGAAAGAATTGGAAATTTCATATAAAGAAAGATTATTTCATATAAATTAGACCGACATATACAAGCTGATTTGGACTCTCCGGGAAAAAGAATAAAGTTCATTAAAAAAACATAATAAAATAAGATTTGATTAAAATTTTTATCCTAATAGATGATTTGTTTTGTAACTTTATACAAAAGTTTCACTTGAAGTTGTAAATCTAGGTTAAAAGTGCCAATCTTAGATGCTGATTGTGTGTCTTCTTAAGCTGCATCCACCGCTATCCTCGCGAAGATCAGCTTCAATTACGTTCTACAATAAAATACATTAATACCAGTAAAAACGTAATCATTAACGTAAAGGATAACACAAAGAGGTGTTCTGTGTAAAAATTGAGCTCGAGGTACTACGTTTAGGATTTCTTTTTTTATGGTTAGGTAATATTTTTTCCTGTGTCGTGAGTGCAGTTACAAATATACAATTTCAGATACACATCAGACTTAGACCTCGGAACAACAAGTTGTGGATCACACAAAGAGTTGTTCCGTGTAGGAAATAAAAACCGCAATATTGCGCGGCAGCTAGTTGCCCAGCCACCGCGCCAACCGTCCTCTATAAATGTTCTAAAATCAAAAAACCTTTTTGAATTAGCAAACCCTATCATGCCATACCATACCCTGTAAGAATGAGTATCATGTGCCTTAAAAATGTTAAACTTAATTATTATTTTCAGGTATTTTTCGTCCTTCGTAAGAAAAACAACCAAGTGTCCTTCCTTCACATATATCATCACACTGGCATGTGCTTGCTAGTGTGGGGCGCAGTCACCTATTTACCAGGTACATTAAAACTAAGTATATAATAAATATTAGCTTTTATCCGCGGTTTTGCTCCCGTCAGTTGACTACCTATTCTACCCTACATAGTTACCTACCATACAATACCTACCCTATTCTTCCTAGGTACACAATTAAGTATATAATATATGCCTACAAGCTTTTATCCGCAGTTTCGCTGCCGTCAGTTGGCTACCTATTCTACCCTACCTACCCTATTCTTCCCGCCCAGTTCTACCTACGCTATACTACCTACTATACCCTATGTTATATTCTTCTTCTGGTTCTAAAATACTTCCCACCAATTCTCAACGACAACCGCAAGCGCGCAAGGCACCCTGGCCTCGGCCCAGAGCTGGAGAAGGAACGAGGGGTTTTTAGTCAGTAAGAGTCTCTCACCTTACCCTGGGCGGGAGAAGACATTTGATGATTTTCCCCTGACAAAAAGAAAACCGATTCTGAACGGAATCGGTTTACCCATTCTTGTGATATAAAATGTGCACTGCACTAACAAGACTTTCTTTTAAACGCAGATATAGATATAATAATATAATCCTTCTGAATCATAGCTTCCTTCCTTTTTATTGGATATGGTGTGACATTTATTACATACCGGTGTATTGACCATAAATTCAGTTTTCAAGATAGTTTTCTAGATCCTACGTGTAAATATTCTCAGTGGCATTCAGTGTAAGTTAGGTCAGATTTTTAAAGTCCAAATACAACTTCAAACAAATATGCATTAAAATCGGAATTTTAATGCTTAAGGCAACGTGACGTTACAACAAAAACAATCAGGGGTCAATAACCTTCTTAAATTCAAATTTGATGCTAGAAATCGAGCAGGGTTTTCATTGATTTACTTGTTATTTAGATAGACAAAACAAAATAAATATTTAAATATGGAATAGAACAAAAATAGGTTACTGATTCGTTGGCTTGTTTGTAATGTCTATGCGTAGATTGTAATTAATTTATAAGCCTAGGTTAGATTGTGCCGTTACTGCATATAAAACAATGGAGATACAAAGTTACTGGGTTAAGTTAATTCAATTTATATCGCTATGCAACTACATGCATTAGTTATATTCGCTGCTAGTAAGTAAATTGATGCTTTGTGAATTTTCTTTGTTACTTTTTAAACAATAAGCTGGGTGTATTAACAGACTTAGAAACTACCGCAGCGATTATTCCAGTCTAAATCCTTAGCATGCTGAAGTATGCACTCATTTTTTCTTTATCAAAATTAGGTACCGAGTAAAATCCAACTAGTTTCTTCTCGCCTTGTCTTGAAGAAGCAAGAAGTAATTTCTTGACTACCCCTCCCCTTTCTCCCTTCTCTTTATTTTTCCAATAGTAAGTAAGCTGCTGATTGTGGAAATTATAGTTATCCCTTATTTTGTAGAGGAAGCATTTTTTTTATGTGATGAGCAGACGGATTACCTGATGGTAAGCAATCAGCACCGCCCATAGACACCCGCATCAACAAAGGAGTACGAGTGCTTTGTCGACCTTTTGGGGATTAGGGATTTGGGGATTTGAGAATTGGGGGAGGGGAAGGATTAAGTTCCCGTTACCTCACTCAAACGACGAAACACAACGCTGTGGTTGTTTCACACCGTTTTTCTGTGAGGCCGTTGTATTAGGTACTCCGGTCGAACCGACCCGTCCATGGCTCTCCCACACTTACTTATACATAGACTGTCATGGGCTTTTAATATATGTGTTGATGTGATACAAGTCCATAGGGCACGAATAGTCCAGTGATGATCCGATCGGAGTGATACCACGCCCCATGAAAAATTGGCGCTAAACAACGCTTGCTTTGTTTTTGCCCTATCACTGGGGTTACCGAAGGATCTCCCTAATAATAAAAGGCAACGCACTTGAATGTTTTCTATATTTTCCAATGTTTTAAATATGACAAAAGCGTGTGATACATCTGCTTCTTTATGACTCTGTGTAACAAAAACTCTTTTTCCAATTCCAGGTGGGCATGGAACGCTGATCGGTGTCATCAATTCCTTTGTTCACGTCGTAATGTATGCCTACTACTTACTGTCTGTCGTCATGCCCAGCGTCAAGAACTCTCTTCGAGTTAAGAAACACGTCACCCAGTTGCAAATTGTAAGTATTCAATTTAACTTCTTTATGAGGTATCATGGTTACCCCATTACCTGATGGTAAGCATAGGCGCCGCTTTTAGACCCGAAACACCAGAGGAGCAACGAATGCGTTATACGCCTTTTGGGGATTAAGGTTTTGGACATTTAGAAGATACTTAAGGTTTGGAGATGGAGCCAAGGGTGTCAATGTCACGACACGATCGTTCTTAAGTTTCGTACCTTAATTTTCTTAAGTTACGGGTAAAGTCACAGGTATTTTTAATCTCCATCGTGTCGGATACAATTTGGAATCCCAGATAATACTTTTTCTGATACATATTATGTATATATATTATATATTATGGTTATTATATATATATTATGGTTACCCAAAACATGCATTTTTTTAATTTATTTTTTATCTAATTACCTGATGGTAATCAATCAGCGCCGCCCATGGACACCCGCAACGGAGGAGTTACGAGTGCGTTGTCGACCTTTTAGGGATTTGGAGATTTAGGGATTGAGGAGGGATTGGGGGCGGGGAAGGATTGGGCCTCCGGTAACCTCACTCACACAGCGAAACACAACGCTGTGGTTGTTTCAAGCCAGTTTTCTGTAAGGCCGTGGTATCACTCCGGTCGTGCCGACCCATTCGTGTCGAAGCATGGCTCTCCCACACTTAAATACTTTTTCTGATACATATAATATACCTAACCCAATAATATGGTTAGTGAAATAGATGGTTATTTAATATATATACTTACTATCATTCATGGTACAACAGTTTATAAATTTAAATAAAAAACAAATTGTCAAATATATGCACGTTTTATCCAATGCAATAACGTTATCTATTGTATATGATTGTTACTTTTGTTGAATGCGCTAACCGTCTTTGTATCATCGTACAATCATCTGCATGAAATGCTATTTCAAAGTTGATAATATGCAAAACATCTTTAACAACCTGACAAACAATTTTAGTCAATCATTTGAATTGTGATAACTGTCTGTGAAATGATTTAGCGTTGGTTCATGAAGTTTTCTTTTACATTTTTACAGCAACTTTATCCCCATTATTTCCTTTGATCTAGTTCATGTTGTTTGTACTTACCTCATCACAGTGTAATTATTTATTTTTTTATATATACTTTATTGTACAAATTATTAAAAAACCCACAATTGCCTTCTCTTTTGCGTAAAGTCTCACAAAATCTAATCATTTTTCTCCCTTGACAGCACATACAAACTACTCTAGTAGTGGTTTATAAATGGCCATGCAACAAGCTACTGTGCAACAACTTGCGGGTTCGATTCCTGCAAAAACAACATTTTGTATGACCTACAAATCGTTGTTCTGAGTCTGGGTGTATGAAATTGTATGTTCGTTATCACACCTACGGCCCAAGAGAACTTTTTAGTAGAGTCACGTATTTGAAGTAAAGAGCAATATATTAATCTAGCCTTTTCAATGCTTTCAGCTCCAATTCTTCTGGTGTGTCGTTCATATGGCGATTATAGTCTTCAAAAGTGACTGCGCATACCCTAGGTGGACAAGTGCAATGTTTTTACCACAAAACTTATTCATGCTTGTCCTTTTTGTCGATTTCTACATCAAAACCTACATAATTAAACCGAGACAACAAATGAAAGCAAACCTGGAAACTACCACAGTCGATCAAAATAACAACAATCTTCCCAAAAATGGCGCCGTGAAAGCAGCAAATGGCATGAATAAAATGAATGGATTAAATGAAGAGAAAATTTATGTGAAAAATGATTTAAATAAGGCAGTAAATGAGAATGGCAATAATGGAACACCTTACAATGGATTTTGTGGAAATGTAAACATTTTTGAAAATGGAACGGAAAAATCCAACTGTGGCAATGGCAATTGTAGAGTGAATTGCCATAAGAATTTTAAAGGGGAATAATCATTTAATAGTAAATGAATTATTAAGATTTTTAAGTTTATTGTATTATGTTAACATATTTAGTAATTTAAAATAAATAATATTTCTATATTTAAAAATTATATAAGTAAGTAGGTATTATTAACAATATTTTAACAGACAATCATGTTCTTTGATATAAATGATAATAAAATAATATTGTTTTATTTATCAACCATAATTAAATAAGCCTATTTGGTAAAATGCAGATTTTTATAATAAGCTAGCGGTTGCCCGCGGCCCCGCTGGAAGCCGATTTTACACTTTGCCTTGATTTTTTTTTAATTTTCTTGGCGTAGAAAATTTTTCTGGACTTCCGCAAATAATTCAATACCTATCAAAATTAGCAAATCGGTAAAGGTATAACAGTACAACGAAAAGTAGTATTGTTATTGTTGCAGCTGAGGCTGTAGAACGAATTTATTTTGCGCTGGCGGGAGTAGCTTGGCAAGAGGTGTCGGCGTTCAGAATAAACACTTCCTTGATTGTAAAGTTCTTCTTTTATTTTCCTTAAGTTCTTCTTTTATATTCCTTTTCGTAGTACTGCTGGATTCAGAATGCCCAACCAAGGAAAACTGCCTTCTTTTATAGAGACCTTCAGCCAATCAGAACGCTCGGAGTTTGCACACGGCACTATCCATTTGGCGGCAGCCAATCAGAGCGTTTTAGGTTTTTTACACTTAGAAACTGTCTAGTTTGTATGGGGAAATCTTATTTTTCAGTTTTCCGTATTTGGGCATCCTTTACAAGGTGATAAATATTATTTCAACATTAATAATAACTTATTCTAACATTTTACACTTAAAACTAACATAAAATAAACATTTTTCTGCTTTAAAATCGTAAAAAACTATTACATGTTCTCGCTACGGTAAAGCTTCGTGGTAGTTAAGCTTTTGCGACCATCGTACAAGTGGCGCCCTCTGGCTGCGGTTATGTTACATGTAATTACAAATTCTTTTCTTTTAATTTATACAATATCACATTAATATTTTTCTATTATTAATTATATTCATAATATCTTACGTGAATTACTTACGTTAATTATTACTAATCATTTGATAATTTAACATTCATTTTCAACGCTTAAATTAATTATTTAAAGGCATCTTACTCTAATTTGGGGTCATCGCTAACATTCTCCCCCGCGGTGCGTAGCACGTCTTCTTGTGGACGCGATGACGCCCCAGGAACCAAAACGATGATTTTTCTCGTCGGCCGTCGGAGTACTCCTCCCGATGTGCGCACGTCTAGCACTCTCGTTCTTCCATCTGGTCCTGGATACGTTTTGATGACTTCTCCACGGGGCCATGAATTTCGTGGCAGTGTTGCGTCGACTATCATGACGACGTCGCCTTCTTTAGGATCGCTGGTGGTTCGGCCGTCGATTTTCCTCTGCATCAGAAGGGGTAAATATTCTCTGATCCATCTCTTCCAAAAATGATCTGCCAGCCTCTGGGAAGTTCTCCAATTGGCTTTCCCTATCAAGTCTGTCTCGCTGAATTCTCCAGGTGTCATTGCTCCACATGATCTTCCCAACAGGAAGTGATTCGGTGTCAAACTTTCTTCATCGTCTGGATCCATACTGACTGGGGTGAGAGGTCTTGAGTTTACTATGTGTTCGACCTCAGTCATTAACGTGTGAAGCACCTCTTCTGGTGGTGTTCTTTCATTCAAGACTGCCGCTAGTGCAGTTTTGACTGTTCTTACTAGTCTTTCCCATGCTCCTCCCATGTTTGGGGTTCCCGGAGGAATGAACTTCCACTTGATTCCCCTTTGTTCTGCGGCTTCTTCTAGCTCCTTATTTGCTCCTACAAAATTAGTCCCGTTGTCGCTGAAGATAACCTTCGGTGTCCCCCTTCTAGCCGCCATTCGTCGAAGTGCCATGATCATTGAGCTGGTACTGAGAGAAGGCACTAGCTCTAGATGTATAGCTCTGGTGGTGAGGCAAGTGAATAGTGCTCCCCAGCGCTTTTCAGTTCTTCTTCCGATGGTTACTTGCATTGGCCCGAAGTAATCTACTGCTGCGCACGAGAATGGGAATTGATGGTGTTGTAATCGTTCCTCCGGTAGGTCTCCCATTGGTGGTATTTCTGGCAGTTTCTTCCTCATCTTGCACCATTGACAATTGTATGAGATTGCTTTCAACGTTGCTCGTAGACCCAAGATCCAATACTTCTGTCGGATTTCGTTCATGACTGTGGCCGTATTTGCATATATGAAGAAACTTCTGGTGATAATGTTGAATGATGAGGCGGGCAATTTTCTGATTACCATCCAAAATAATAGGATTCATCTTTCTTCTTTCTTCACCGCGAAACTTCATGGTTCTACTTCTTAGTTTAATTATTCCGTCGTCGTCTATGTAGACGTCGATCCTCTTAAGCCGACTGGAATTGTCCAATCTTGGTTTTCCTGCTTTCAGATTTCTTATTTCTGACGCAAAGCTGTCGTTCTGACTTTGTCTGATTAACTTCGGCCTTCTTCAGATGTTCTTTTTCCAAGGGTACGTACAACCGCTTCTTTTCTTGCCGTGGGGTAACGGCAACTTGCGTCGGTTTCTGAGTTTTCTTTTGAGGTCTCCAGGAGTCTTCTTTCCGGCGGACGGCGACGTTGGTCGCTCTATGTGTCTTCTTCAATAGGAGACATGCGAAAGCAACCACTCTAGCCGTGGTACGCAACAGCCGTTTCCATCCGGAAAACCTCTCAAGATCAATTAAGTTTTCTTCTTCAACCTTTGTTGCCATCACCTTCTGCTTGTTCTTTTCTTCTGGCATGGTTCCTCCTTGCTTGAAATTCCGGAATGGCCATTCTTCTTCTGGTTCACGAAGAAACTTTGGCCCTTGAAACCATCTCGAGTTGTAGTCGAATTCAAGCGGGGTTCCCCTTGTGGCATCGTCTGCTGGGTTCTCTTTGGTTGGTACCCATCTCCAGTCATCTGGTCTGGACTTTTCCTCGATCTCAGCTAGTCGGTTAGCAACGAAGGTTTTGAATTTCCGCGGTTCTGACTTGATCCACTGTAGCACCGTGCTGGAATCTGTCCAGTAGGTTTTCTTTGTCACCTCGAGGTCCATCTCTTCTTCTAATGTGGCTGCTAATCTGCTGCCGAGTAAGGCCGCTTGTAATTCCAATCTTGGGATCGATACTGGCTTTGTGGGTGCTACTCGTGCTTTCCCGGAGATCATGGAAATATGGATTCTTCCGTCAGGTTCAACCGTTCTCCAGTACACTACCGCTGCGTAGGCCTCTTCGCTTGCATCAGTGAATGTATGCAATTGTCCCTTTCTGGTGTTGGGTGAAAAGCATCTAGGAATTTTCATTCTTGTTAACGTCTACCTCTGCCAAGTATTGCCGCCAAGCTTCGTTTTGGTTTTCGTTGATCTCATCGTCCCAATCGATTTTAGTACGCCAGATGTTTTGAATTAGTTTCTTTCCTTGTATCAAAACTGGAGTAGCGAATCCCATTGGATCGAATGTTGACATTACGGCGCTCGTCACCTCTCTCTTTGTCGGAATTCTTTTTCCTTCAAGTAGGTCTTTTGGTGTTTTTCGCAGCCCAACATTAAAAGCTAATGCGTCTTCTTTCACTAGCCATCGTAGCCCCAAGGTCTTTTCTTCCTTAGTCAGTTCTACGCAGTCTTCTTTATTCATATCTTCTACCTCGTTTAAGACGCTTGAATCATTGCTGGCCCAACCTTTGAGGTGAAAACTCGCCTTAGCATGAATTTCTTTCACTTCTTTTGATATCTTCTTCGCTTCGGCGGCCGATGAGAAGCTCTGAAGATAGTCATCCATATAATGGTTCCTTTTAATGGCCTTAACTGCTTCAGGATACGCGGTTATAAAGTCTTCTGCATTCTTGTTCATCACGTATATAGCGGTGGCTGGTGACGATGCTGCTCCAAAGATAATTGACGACATTCTGTACTCTTCAGGCTTCCCTGTTCTTTTTCTTCCACGCCACAGAAACCTTAGGCTGTCTCGATCGTCGTCCTTTACTTTTACGCGGAGGAACATGTCCTGAATGTCGGCCATGATAGCTATTGGACTTTCTCTGAAACGTAGAAGTACCCCGAGTAATGACTGCAGCAAGTCTGGACCCGAAAGTAGTGCGTCGTTGAGGCTTTTCCCTTCAAACTTTGCTGCTGCATCGAAAACGATTCTTGGCTTCCTTTTGGCTGGATGCACTACAGCAAAGTGGGGTAAGTAGAATGTCCTTCCTTCGTTTGCAGTTGGCGGAGCCTTCTCTGCGTATCCTTGGTCAAGTAATTTTTGGATTTGCTTCCCGTATGACTCTCTGATTTCTTTGTCTTTGTCTAACTTCTTTTCAATGCCAATCAAGCGTCTGTATGCTTGTGAGTAATTGTTGGGTAGAGTCTCATCTTCTGTCTTCCACAGAAGGCCCGCTTCGAATTGACCACTTGCTAGTCTTCTTGTATTTTTGTCAAGGATCTCTAATGCCTTTCTGTCGCTGTCATTCTTTGGTAGTCGGTCTTGAATGCCAATGGATTCCAGCTGGAAGTGAAGTCGGACGATATCCTCTATGTTTTCAGCCTTAGATTCTTCACAGTGATTGACGAAGTTCACTATGGCGTTGGCTCCGGTGTCGCACCCGTGCAGTACCCATCCTAAGTTGGTAAGGGAGGCCACGGGGTCACTTGGTTTGCCTTTCTTCAACTTTCTTGTTACTATGAGTCCCCAGTTATCTTGGCCAATCAACAGCTTAGGCTTTTCACTGGTATAAAGAAGCTGTTCTTTTATACCTTTCAGGTGCTGACAGTTTCTCAAGGTAGCTTCGCTTATGCTTTGCTCTGACAGCCTTAGGTCATCGATGGTCCTGGCTGCTATGGTCTTCTTGTCCCTTCTATGAGCCCCCTTTATCTTCAGTTCAATCTTTTGTGAACCACTCTTCGTCACAATTTTTCCACCCACTGTTTCAATCGTAAGGTTCTCCTGACGTCCTTCCACTCCGATCTGTTCGG